GTTATCCTAATTGATAAAACTTACCTAGGATGAAAACATCAACTTCATGCTCATGAGGAGAATTGCTGGGTGACAGGAAAAATTTGTATGTTCCATTATAATCTTGAGTCACGTTTTTTAAGACCAACGTCGCTGGTTTTTTAATATCGAAGTCAGGTAAGTTGGGCATACGCTTATAGTCACCATCACCATCTATTTCTGCCAGACTTACTATTCTTTTACTCGGTCTTTCTAAAGTCCACTCTCGGAAACTGAACTTATTTATAGGACTATCAAATGACCACCTTATGTTCACAGTTGATCCAGGTAACAAAAAGAATTTGTTTCCGTCAGCAGCACCAGGCGGTGGAATTACTTTTCCTATAAGTACAAACAACACAAAATTCTTCGTATGAATATATATATTTAAAAATGCATCAAAATTGATTTCTTCGGGCTTTCAAAGAGTAATTTTGATTAACAGGCAGGGCCACAGGGGTATTTGGAGGAATTAGTCGTCATTGTTGTAATGGGTCGTCTTCATTGGTAAACTCATTGGTACTAACAGCCGGTCGCTAATTTCAGGTTTTATCTTCGCATTGCAACGCTTTTAGACTTTCAGCTTTGTACTTCACAAGCGAACTAAACGATCTTGAAAGATGCTATAAACATGTGTATATGATTTTAGGTTAATTAATATGTTGATGGTGTTACTCTTAGAGCAACCAACCGGGCAAGCTGAAAAATTAGCCTGAAAACAGTGGAAATCGATCGCGAGCCCGTAAACTCTGATTTATCAGTCCAATACGCCCCTCCAAAGGTATGTGTTTGATTCCCAAAATGTGAAGCTAATTTTTGAATAAAATATAGGAACACTACAGGCTTTTACATAGATCACACTGATCTACTTTGTAACAAAAAATGTAAATATCTTACCGTCGCATAAAACTATATAACAACTGAGACCAAAAAGAATGAGAAAATCAAAACCATTCATCTTTTGATGTTTAACCTGTATGAAAATGAAAGACATTTTGGAAATTATATTTATTTGTTTCTCGTTCAAAACGTAAATAAAGCTACACTCATTCTCCGGGGAACAATTTAACAAAAGCCACGTATAGATGTAAGCATACCATGTATAAGAATTTAATATAGGGCAAAGCTTTCGGTCCGTTAACCCGAGCCTTCCTCAGTCCAACTACTTGTGAACAAGTTTGTTGTATTGCAGCATGTTATATTACAATTCAACTATGAATCGAAACTATAATGAATTTGGAAACAGGAAACTGTCCTATAAATAAAATATCAGGCATTAAGTGCCAGGTGTCTAGACATGCACGAGAAATCTACTTTGCATGACAAGTTGATGCTAAACTTCATATTTTCTAAATATTTTGGAAAATCCGGAGAAATTGATTAAAATGGGGAAGACAGGGAGATCTCGCGAATTTTGAGAATCGTTGGAATGTCTGGGTCTATAAGACAAGTTCTTTTTTGCAAAAATATCGCCGTTAAGTTAAAGGCACTCAGTCAAATACTCAATTTGAACGACAAAAGCATGCCGCAATTGATAGTTTTAAATAAGTCAGCAAATCAGAAGCCTCGTGCAATAGAACTCAATATTATTCCATCGTTTTCTGATCAATTAACAATATTCATGTTTCAAAATAAACGTTTAGGAAAAACACCCAGGCACAGCTGCACAAGACGAATATACAAAAATGCCAACACTCGCACTTCTCTGAATCATAGACGTCTGTTTCATGCATTGTTCAAACCTCCATGAAGAAAATACTGTAATAGTAAATATCTTTAGGTTTAATTTTCTTCAGATTTTGCAGATCGAAACCGGAGAAATAGAATTACATGCCTGATGCATATTAAATCTCTCAAGACTAAGACAGACTTTGTGACCAAATATTTGAGGTTTATATGGTACAAATATCCCGTTAATGTCATGCAATAGTCTAGGTACGAAACACAATATAATAACATACCGCGTGGTCTTCTTGCTTGAGAACTGATGAAATTTAGCTTCGGCGTACTAGTTAGTCCTTGTTTCACTTCCTGGTTAATTGTCGAGGGTCGGTAGATAGGTGCAAATTTAAGGCCAAACAACATCACACTACTTCTTTGTTTTCTTTGCCCTGACCTTTTATTTTCTTTCTTTTCTTTGTTTTCTTGGTAGCACGAATGACAAATTGGCCTCAAATATTTGCATATCTTTCAACTCTGGTTGGCAACCATAATTACCATACTATCTGGACATAGATGATGTTCAGAATGGACGACTTGCGCTTTAGATTAATTTCTTACCCCGGCGATAAAAAGGACATTTTCTGAAAGAGCATATTAAAATTAGTAAAACTGCCATGTTTCGCTGGGAATTGTTGTAAATTACGGAAAATATAGCCATGCGAAGTTGACGAATTTTGTATACTTTTGTATTACGGCCGGAAGTGTGTAACTAATTTAGTTACAATCAGTGGGTTACACATTTCAGCCCGTAATACAAAAGTATATAAATTTGCCAACTTCGCATTGTTATATTTGCCGCAATTTAGAGAATTTCGCTGGCAAACTTTGCATTTGCACTAATTTAAGTACGCTCTTTCTAGCTCTCGTGATTTATTTCCTTCTTGTTACTCCTATCAAAAATTAGTCTTAAGCACAATTAAGTCGTCCATTCCTTGACAAGTGCATGCTTTGAAATTCCTTCCATGCAGATCAATAAAACTAAAAGCGTATAATAATAACCATATATTGTAATTAATTATGAAAGAAAGTTTAGCGGAAAAGTTTTGTGTCATTTGAAATGACTCTACAAGGGGACGATTACAGGGACAGCAGGGTCCCCGGTGTTCGAAATGGGGATAATAAGTTTTTTATTGTATTTAACAACAAGGTAAACAACTAAATATCTATAACTTGTCTCCCTCTGGAGGGGGTCGTGCTGGCGACATAAAAATTTCATCACTCTCGCGTGATTCGCTTTCGACCAATGAAACGCTGCAAACATCAAACTTTGACAAGTGGCATTGTAATATTCAATTTTTGCTATCCATATACGACGATATATGTTTTATAATATAGCTACGTATACTATAAATATACCATTTTATGAGCGAATATAAACATTGTATAAAAAATTTAACTAGATCGGCTTTGGATCTGAGCAAAACTGTCGGCTATTTTTTTTTTTGGTACTCACCGTATATATGAGCTGATATCTGGTGAGTATCCCCACCAATCAGATGGCAGATTAACTCATATACTGCAAAGTAGCAATATTATAATGGTAATTATAACAATTATAGTATAGTATGATCTCGAGTCGTAGCTATATGAGCTGATAGGCAACGAGGCGATTAGCGATACCGAGTTGGCTGTTGGCCATAGATATCACGGAAGCGAATTTATCATTGTTATGGCCAGAACTTGATAATGATAAAAATGTGCAAACGGCGATAAACGTTTTTTCAGTAGCAACGTTGAAGGTTTTTTTACTGCGATCGCAAAAAAATTGACGAATATTGTACTGTTACGATCATCAATATCAGCAAGCTCTCTTGAATTGAAGGAACCGTCAGTACTTGAGAAATACCAAATCCGATAACGCACTTAATTAAAATATAGCTAGCACCATCAAATGTCCACGCTATTTTTGCAGTTGTTCCAGGTAGCAAAGTCAAGTTCGTTCCATCGGACGGTGGATAGACAATTCCTAAAGTGACAATTGTTAATAAAGGCGAAAATTTTGTCGAAATACATAAACGCGTATAAATATATATATACCTAATATATCTCAAGTCCAAACCTCGACGTCTTGGATACAACAGGCAACTAAAAAACCAAACCAAGTCATCATACTGAAACATTTACCCTGCGTATATGAAAACAATAATTACAAAACAATTGTTTTTTTTAACTTTCTATACTCAGTTTGAGTTCTTATACGATATTAAGGTTCCGCAAAAGACAGAAAGACAGACAATACGCTACAAAAATCCTTTTTGGTATACACTAGTAATTTACGTCATGCATGATACCGACGGACGGTGAAATACAGTCTTGAAAAGCCGATATTTATTATATGTACTCTGTCAACATTTCACGCTAAAGTGCACAATGTTAAGGCTTTTTCCGTTTAAACAATATTTGTAGTTTAAAAGTCCGCCTTTTCGGGGAGCTGGAAATTTTACTGATATACATGCACTGCCACACGGAGAAGACCACAAGTTAAATCATTCAAGTGTTGTTAATTTATAACCATGCATTAACGAATATGCATGTTGTTAATGAAATAACCATGATATTTCTTCAATAGTCTTAATATATATAATCGTACTTACCCAGGCAAACAGAGATAGCTATAGCATGTAAATACCATGCACTGTGTCAAGGCGAATAGAAACAATTAAACAAAATATAAGGTTATAAATACATAAAAATAAAACAATATTAATTATATTTTTATTTGTTTGGTGTAGTAATTATTAGTTCAAACATCCGGTTGAAAATTGTGAAAATTACAATTAATTGTAGTGATATAAAACTAGAAGGAGTATAAAGTTTCCATGAAATAAATTTAAATAAAACTGTTACTTTATTCCCATGAATTGGCTGATTCGTTAAGCACATCTATAATGCTTGTCATTTAGTGCATGATTGGTACATGCACTAGATTTTAGATCAAACAAAAGTGACATATTCCAGCGTGACTTGGCATCTATTTCCGTTGGCGCTAACTGCATCTATTTCCAATAACGATCACATGATATCATCACGTGACACCTACTACTTCTGATCTAATAGTTGCTGCTGGTAATTCTTTTCTAAACCATTAAAAAATTATGGAAGTGAAATTTCAAAAATACATAAAAGAACAATTTCAGTCCCAAGTGGTGCGACAGTTCGGTAAAAAAATCAAATTTCTTTTCCTTGAAAAAAGTGCTTCTACTCATTCCAGATAAGGAATAAATTGACGTCGTCCAGCTTTGACCCCTCTCTAGTTTAATTCATACAATTTGACTTCGGTCGTCGGCATCTGACTGTGTTTCAGGCACGTCTTCGTTCCCTTCATCTTCTTTGTTGTGTTCTTCTTCATCGACACCAAGTGCACTTTCCATCAAACACAATACGCGAAAACATAAATCCTGTTGCTTTTCTCTTGGTACAGAATGAAATCGTTTCTCCTCGATTTCATCTTCTCCCAGACTTCGATCTATAATATCCATGAACAGCTCTAATTTCTTCACACGTCCATCCAACTTGGAGTAGATCTTCTCCTCAGGAGTTTGTTTCTTCGACTTTCGTTTTTGTTTTCGTCTCTTCTTCTTCGCAGGTGCGACTTTACCGCGCTTGAATGCCTTGTCGAAACCCTTTGAAATGCTTGTCGTCACATAATCGATAATTTCCAGTTCGTTTTGAATCTCAGCAGTTTCCTCTTGAATCTCAGCGAAGGAGTCGTTGATGATGGCAATGAACATGTTCATGAGCACCATCACGTTCAAACCAATGAATGAAAAGAAATACAGTGTTGCTACGGTGGGGTTGACCATGAAGATGGCTTCAAAGTCAAAATCTCCTAAAAGCATGCTCAACTGAGTCGACAATGTCCTTATAAACGAGCTGTACTCTTCAAGTTCAGAACCGAACATAGCGAAGGCGAGAAGGGCAAATGCGAAGAATCCAGCGATAAAAGGTAAGCAAAAACTCATAATCGGCGAGCTTATTCTCTCCAATGTTTTCCCGATGACAAGGAAGTTTTTGTTGAACCTCAACAATCGCAAGAAACGTAAGATGTAGAAGAACACAAGGACACCAAGGATGTAGGTCATCATGGCGTCTGCATTCGCAGCATATTGGAAACCAACGTAATCATTTGGATTCTCCCGTAGCTGAAGAAGATTTCTATCAACTTCGTAAAGACGTGCCAGGAATAAGACGATCAATAGGAATTCGCTGACAATCAGGATGACTTCAACCCAATTCCAGAAACCTTTAAAGTAAGACCAGCGTTGTTTGTAAACAAGTTTTCCTTCCCTGAAGAGAAAATACATCATGAAGAAGATGACCAGGACATGAGCCAGAGTTTGACCGCCACTGAGGTGAAGATAAAACCGCGCAACTTGGTATTGGGCCCTGGTGACGGCAGCTGAAGATTGTGGAAATTCCACAAAATACGAAACGATGCCAAATAGGTTTGCATTCGCGTTGTATACGGTGAACTCTACAAACACAGCACGTGTCTGGACATCAATCCAGCCGTTCGAATGCAAGTCAGCAACCACAGTGTAAGCAGTGACAGTGTCATAACCAAGGTTTGCTGCATAGCCGCTACCGCTGTACATAGTGATTGTACCCCAGTATGGAAATCCTCGAAGATCTATCATTGATTGATGTTTCCATCTTTCAAGACACGACAACACTTTACCATCTGGTAACAACGCATTGTCGTTCACGACATACTCCTTTGGTTTAGCGCTGGCCAGCAAACGCTTCTTCTTTCGTCGTTTTTTGCCGCTCAGTCCACCCATGATTGGATCCAGTCCTCTTTTACGCCGAATCTTCACGCCATCGTGTTCGACTTCGTCCACGTTGAACAAACGTTTCGTCCATTCAGACTCGGTCTTGGGCTCTGCAATAGCTCGACGTCTTCGGGACTTTCCCTCGTGCAGTGGTTTCCAGCTTACTTCAAAATTTTCATCTTCCTCATCCCCCACAGAGTACCCACTGTAGCAATGGGGGATGACATCTTTGAAGTAGCTGGAGACTGGACACGAATCTAAAATTCAAACCGACTAACCGTTAATTCCCATCGATCATTAATTCTGGAAATTTGACTGAAGTTATCGCTACTTTATACATTATTGTTCCTGGTTTGTTTATGCAGACCTTAAAACTTACCCTCTTTCACGCGAAGTAGTCTTACACGCGGGACACCCACGAGGTTATCTTCAATATTCGCGAGCCATCCTTTCTCTATTTTCTTACCATTGTACCACTCATTCGCGTAAAGTCCTGGGATGAGCGTTTCACGTGCCCACATCCATAAAGAATCTGTATCGGAGATCTGCAAAATAAACGAGTAAATATCATTCGGGCGAAATATGCGCTGACGGCCTTGGATACAAGAAGCAAGACTTGAAAAACAAGACTCTAAAGACTTGATAAATTTTACTCCCAAATTCAATATCAAAAGGTAATATGTTCACTCTATATAATAGCATGCACACATAGACTGTGGAGGTCCTGGGCCGTTGAAGACTTTGCTAGATATTTAAATGATTGCTAATAGTTAGTGATCCGAATGTTTTTCTCATATTTTGCTTATACTTACTGCAGCTAGGTCAAGTCCATAGGCATCAACCTCTTCGAAAGTCTCGTACAAAGTTTTCGTTAATAAAAACGTGTCTGGATGTCTGTGGTATTGGGCTACGGCCATCAGCAATATGAGAAATACAAAGAATGCAAACATCTCTTTCAAAGCAGCGTTCATCTTGATCTCTTTCAGGCGTTTTTCTCTCGCTTTCCGCAGCTTGGCCGCACTTGGAGGACTGCAATGAGATGAAGAAAGTTCAACCACTTTGCAAGAATTTTCTAACTAGTTTTGTTTTAAACATATTGACCTACATAGAATGATAAATATATGATAAATGATAAATGTGAACTGTTTTGAACTTCCTTAAATCACTTTGCGCACTGTTTAATCAGTCGGTGTTACGTCACACACCATGTGACGATGTAATCCATTGTACTTAGTTAAAATGTTAGCAACAATCCGCTGTATTTTGTATCATGCTACGCCAAGTACTTGACATGTATGTTTATAAACTGAATCCAAGCGATAGTAAACTCAATTATATCGAAATCTTTCGTGCTTTTCTACCTAAAATATGAAAAATCATTCTAATATGTCAAACAAAATCCACTACACGTTGAGTTACCTGTAATATTTTTTTATTTTTCCTACGGGTTTGCCAATGGCTCCCATCTTCCGTTCCAACTCCGCCAAGTTTCGTGCAGCCAATTCTTCTTCCGCCACGTCAGATTTATTGATCACCAGTCCCTCGTTACCAGTCTCCTCCTCGCTGTCATCTGCTTTCTTGATAAACAACGCAAACACGACAGCGGCAACAACGACTTTGATTGGCTGAAGAAGCAACACTGATTGGAAAAATGATGTAACCATGGCAATCACCCATTCTGTTGAAGTCTCCTTTCCCCACTGAATGCTGTAGAGCAATGTGAAAAAAATCGAAGCGGCAGACGCGAGGTAACAAATAGCGTAGACCATGTAGATAAAACAATATGGAAGTTTGCCTTTTGGTGGAGTTTGGTTTTCAATATGAACTCCTTCGACTGTATCATTCTCTTTTATTGCGCCTTCCTCTTCGGCGTGTTTCTCTATCTCGTAAACGGCTGTTTTCTTCGGTTTTTCTTTTTTCGGTCGGAGATTGCGAAAAATCTGCACGATTAGAACATTCACTGGGACAATGATGATGCTGCTCTGCAGACCAATCACAAACGGCTTTAGGTCGATAACCAACGAACCAATTTGAACAGCGAAAGGACTTGGACCCTGGCCTCCCATGTTATAGAACATGGCGCTTGTAATCATCGTGCAACACAGCAAGCAAAGAGCGCATGAGAGACGTTGGACGCGCGTGAAATTGCTTGTGGGAGGTCTGGATACAATGGAGAACCATATATGGCCGTCTGCAAGACCCTTGATAGCTTTTTTCGAGAAGACATGATTGAAGCTTGTCAATTCCTCTTCGTTGGCCACAGACAGTATTCGACAAACTTTCCCGTCCTCTGATTCAACAGCCAACCAATTTTCACAAACCATTCTCCATGTTACACCTGTTTGAAGATCTTTGATGGTCAACCGACTGAGATACCAAGATGGCGAAGAACCTATAGCGTGAAAGGTTAGATTTCATAACCCTGAGGTCTTTTCTTAATTCAAAATCGAGATTGTCGTTGGTGAATAGATGAACTATAACTTTAAGTCTTCAGGATTAAGCTTATCAGGTTAAGTCTTCAGGATTAAGCTTATCAGGTCAAGTCTTCAGGATTAAGCTTATCAGGAAAGCTTTGTACGGTAAATTGATTTGACCTGAGTACAGAATCATTTTCGAGTGGGCACTTTCCGCGCCAGCTCTAAGTGTTTTAGTGTTGTTTACCTGAGTTATCGTGCCACATTTGAATATAGCTCAAATCGCCAACACCATGAGGATACGAAACTACAAAAGAGTTGGTTTGACCTCGTTCGAAACATGGCCTTTCTCGATCGTGTAACCAAACTGGTAGTGTTTCGTTTTCGTCGCCTGTCATCGTAAACACAACCCTTGCTGTAGTACCAGCCCCCTGTCTGCTACCTGTGGCAGTAGTGATGAGGTAGTGATAGTTTCCACGGTGTTTTCGAAGGATCGTCGGACCAACCTGTTTTATATAGAAGGTTGACGCAAGACATGTATTATTAGGTAATCAACATGCAAATGAATGGAGGAGAGAGAAAAGAGGTATAAGACAGTCCAGTAATGTAAGGGGGTGAATAAAATGAAATAAAATGCAAGTGGTGAAAAAAATGAGGTTATGTAAAGAATAGTAAGATACGAGGAGGAAGGGTAGATGAGTGGTAGGGAAAAGAAAAATAAGGGAAGTGGGAGTTGAGTTAAGTTGGGAGAGAGAGAGGTAAGGTAGCTTTGGGGTGAGGTGAAGAATGGTAAGATAAGATAAGAGGAGGTAAGAAAAGATGAGATGAAGGGAAAAGAAAAAAGAGGTGAGTGGGAGGTATGTTAAGGTGAGAGATGGACAGGTAAGGTAGCATTAGGGTCAGCTAAAAGTCGAGGCAAGGTGAGATAATTGGGAGAAGGTGAGTTTAGCGGTGAGGTAAGGTATGGTAAGATATTTATGGTAACATAATGTAAAGTAAGTCGGTGTGTGAGGTGTTATGTGAGATAAGTAGAGCAAGGAAATTTACAATAAACTAGAAATGACATGAGAAGAAGAGGAATGCAAGATTAATAGCCCAAACAAACCCACCATTAGCAAGTCTTTTTTATCCGCTCGTCTTGCCCAGATCACTCCAATGATGTATAAACCAAGAATGGTCGATATCAAAGCCAGCACAGCGACATTCTCAGCAAGACTTCCGAAATTACTGAAGACCGAGTCGAAGTCAATTGGGTTTGGAGCAACAAGAAGATCACTTCCAAACGACGTCAAGTGATTACAGGAACAGAGGATTTGTCCTCTGTTCGTTCCTATTGCAACCTGTTTAAAAAAAACATCACTCAATCATCTATCAAACTACCAACTTACCTGTTAACTTTAGTAATTCATTTTACTTGTAATATTCAATGGTTGCTGGAATTTCGAATAACAATTTTCAGGCTTACCTTGCAGCCTTCACCTTTCCATGTCTCATTGACAACATCCCAGAATATACAGCTCGATTCGAACATGGTCAGGTTGTAGTTCGGAGTTTGGTTGGGATGAAAGAACTTGCCATCAAAGCCTAGATTGTCGGCCACGAGGATCTTAAGCTTTCCAGGAGGGTCAGTTGGCTTCGGTGGGGCAGGGGGGATAATGACACACGAACGACGAACACGTCTGGCGCCAACTTCACAGGAAACTGAACGCCGATTTCGAGAGCTAAAGGACGACTCCGGATTAGGGTAAGTTTCATTCTTGAATTGTTCAGTGTGTTGTACAGCTGAGTAAAACAAAATATCGATGATTTAGATAACACGAGAAAATCCATCATGAGCTATCTGAAGGTTTTCAAAGATGCTAGTACTTGCATTTACTTACCAAAACAATACTCCCCAGTACCGTTGAAATCAAAATTCGATACGAACACTGTGTAAGGATCTTTTGCACATTTGCTTGGGTCAATATGAACAGGTTCAGCGTTTCCCGACTGTGATTGAGATGTAAACACGCTGTCGTTACCAACTTTACAAGTACTGAAGTCTGGCAGTTTGTAAACGAACTCGTAATCTCCTGCTTTGATGTCGGGTTTTCCACCTTTCTTCAGGAATACCTAACATGAAGTAAACAGAGAAAGACGATACTGAGGAAGTTGGTTCACATAATCCAAAAATTATTTATTGAACGCTGGATAATAGCAAACACGGTAACCACTGAATCATGCTTACATTATAAGTTATTCCAACGTCTTCAGGTTTCATTTCGAAATTCATAGCGGTGTAGTTACTCCGTCGTGTAAAGCAATGGAACTTCAAATAGTCTCTTGTTTTGCTCGTTTCATTCATTTCAAGAGGTTTTAGGTAGAACGAATTGTTTGCATCCATAATCAATGATGGATCTCGGGTGATTGTGACGGTAATATCTTCCGTAAGGTTGGAAGATGAGATGTTGAGGCTCTTTGCTTCAACTACAATATCAATCACGTTGGACGTGACGTTTTGACTCGAGCTGTCCCAAGTGAAAGGATTCTTGTCGAATAAAGCAACCTGTTAAAAAACAGAATATGCTTCGATCACAAACTGTCCTTCAAGTAATATGGGCCAAACCTCAGAGAATTATAGAAAAAGGCTGTAGTTAAATGTGATTTAAACGGTATCCTTTAGTAAGACTGATCGACTGTTCAGTACTGTTGAATAAGTCTTTGCTTCAATGGAGCAAACTTTCATTGTTTACAAAAGGCAACTATCTGAGGCAGAGCTACTAGAAAGACTAGTATATATAAACATGATGTGAAGGCTGTAAGTGTAGATGTAACTACACTTTTTGATGTAGATATATATGTTTCTGGTCAACAACGTGCTAAATCTCACAGACATAGCGATCAAGTCATAGTGAAAAGTAACTTTTCTATTTATAAACGCTAAGATCATGCAAATCGCCGAATTAACTCGGCAAGGTGAACTTCTAGGAAGGCTACTGCTGTCGAGACTTCACTAAAAATACTGCGTGATTACTTTGCTTACCTTGGTGTCAATGGGCTGCATTTGAAGAAAAGAGTTGTTGGGATTTGAAAGAACTTGAAGTGAAAGAAATATGAATCAGAGAGGATGAAAGAAACGAATGTATATAAACAAAGGGAGAATTTCGTTTTGAACTGTTCACCAAATTTGTTTACATTTTGCAGAATGGCTTAATTTTTCATACTTTATGTAAAATGGTAAACAATGTACCCTTTTAATAGTCAATATGCATTTTGATTGGGATAATGAAAATGTAAACAAGTTTGCTGATTGATCTAAAACTAAATTCGTCCTTGTTCTGTACAAACTGAACCAATTAGAGTAATTGCTCCGCACAATAAAATTAATTAGAACTATGCACCTCTCGCAAATATAAAGAACTATAAAAAAGAAAGCTACTTACCATCGCCTAAGCCAAAGGCAGAGCCCGACGGAGGTTTGAAGCGAGCTCCTTTTAGTTCGCTTTCTTTCTCTCCGAAAGTGTAAGCAGCTACTTTCTCCACGTTTATTGAAAGCGTTTTTGTTTCGATGTTGCTCGGACCTTCGTTTGATACCAAATAATCCAGCAAGACACTTTGAAGTTTCTCGACCGAATCGAAAGTACGCTGAACATTTCCCTACAGGAAGATGAACTAGAATTGAAACACATGAATGCAGCCTCGACCATGTATGTAGTGAAAACCATCACAACATGCCGACTGCATGTAATGAATCGCGATAGAAAAGCAGAGATGAAATAAACCAGAAATATAGCTTTCAGGGCAAGCACTGTGACGCTAAGAATTAGGCATTCAACTCCAGATCAATACCAAACCTGCCTGCTGCTGGCAAGAATTTGCACTCGCGTATTGTTTTTTTTTCTGCCTATTCATTCGTTTGAAAACGTTTTGGGGAGTAACGCTAACATTTTCAGCAAAAACTGAAACACCTAACAAAGATATATGCTGTCAAAAAATTTGTTTCCAGATTTGCAAAAAATATTTGGTTAAGCTAATCGGTTTTTGAACAGACAGCAATTGGTGGGTACACAACCACCAGGCAATAACATACATTTCAAAGTGAGAATCAATTTCCTACATTTTCCACGAGTTTCTTACCGCGGTGACTGTATCGTTTTTGGAAAGCGATCCGGAATCCTTTGATCCACCACTATTCAAAGAACCGAGTGTTCCAAGAACGTTCGTCACTCCAGATTTGACGTTTTTAAATCCCGAATCGTTCTGCGTTAAATTCTTCAGTTTATTCGTCAGAACTTCAGCCACCGACAACGCCGCATCCTATAAATATAATTTGAATAGTTTATTAGATAAAGACCTTATTTTTATTTGAACACAACTGAATTGTAAAAATTAACGATGCCTGAATGAATGGAACAGCAATCTTTTAAATTGATTGGGAAAAGAGCCAGATGAAATCTTGGGTAAAAAATTCTAGATCCCAGTCAACACGAATTTTGCATGATTCAAAGGTTACCTGTGCCTTTTCGGTTAACTGGTCAGCTTCTCCAACAAGTGAGAGAACAGAACCGCTGATTTGTAAGGTTGCGGACATATCTTTTGGCTTCATTTTAGTTATCAACGTCAGCATTTCTTCTCGTACCTGTTTAAAGAACAAATATACACGTTTACGACAAAAAATTAATGTATGCGAACTACTTGCTGCTAGAGAATTGTTTCACTGCTCTGAGGTGAAGCGCAAGACCTCCTGCTATATATAAGATTTCTTGTTTTGGGAGTTTCTGCTTTATTCTAAAGTTGGGTCATTGCACTGGAGACTACTTGCATTTACCAAGAAAGGCTCATGAAATCTCTTTTCGCAGTTAGCTAGACATGTAGGCACGTTTTGTCCCAGATTTTGATGGCATACTGTGCACGTAGCTCGCAATGTTTTCGGATAAGGGCTAAAACTCTACCTGTCCAGGTGTTTTCTGTTCTTCTGACGATTTGCCAGCGCTTGATCCGAGAGCATTCAAAGTGGAGCTTAACTCCGAAGCCAGACCTATGGCTGCTGTAGTATCTCCATTTTTTACATGTTGGTGAAATATATCGGTTATTTCAGTCAAATTCAGTTCTCCTGTTGGAGCAGGACTGACCTGCAATGCAAATGGCAAAGAAGAAAAGGATTAGCCCCGCTGAATTAATGCGTGGTGATTAGGATTTAGGAATATAATGAGTTACTTTTGAAAAATACTTCTTCCAGGTCTATCTAGTTATGGATATATAGATAATGAATCCAGGTTTATTCAGATATGGATATACAGATTAAGCTAGACTCATTAAAATATGTCAACGTCTTGACGTACTTGTATTGGAAAGTGCTCGATTGAACTTGATCCGAACGCATCTGCAATTTCCATGGAGACAGCTAAGGTGTAATTGTTACTTTCCTCTCCACTTGGCAGCCAATCAGTGTGGCTGATGCTCACACCAGATGCAATTGTACGATAATAGAACAGTGTCTTGCTCTGGTTGCTTCCGTAGAAGAACTTGTAGGTCAGCGGTGATTCAGAGTCGGACCATCCCTCACAAGAGAAAGTGAAATTTGTCGAAAGGGAGATACCGGACGAAGGAGTAACGGAGCACGTGCCTGAAATGGACAAAAATAAAGTATGTCTGAGCTTTGCCTGGTAATAATAACAAAAAATGATATTAGAAAATTGTTTAGGTCCTGGTGTTACGTGCTGATAAAATTGATCTTTAAAGTATGATTAATGCTTCAGACATGGAAAATGCTGCCCAAAAGGTCTTGGAAATCAGGGCAAACTGGTCCAACGATGTGAAAAAGTCTCGTATCATAGTCACTTACCACCAGAGGGCGGTGAATTCACACGAAGAGTAGTTCTCTGTTCCCCAATCACTCCAGTTGGACGCGACGCCCGAAATGCCAGCGTATATTTTTTGCCGCTTTGCAGCGCGTTAGGTTTAATCGCCAGAGCCAGCTCGTTGATTGGATTATATACCAAATTTTGAAAGTCCTTGGGTGGGATTTCATGCAACGCTGACAAATTCAGCGGTTCAGGCTCGTCAATGTCACCGTACAGATATAAAGCCCAACTAAACACCAATTCTCCTGTACAAAATGCTGAACAGTCTGAGTGCAGGATGGTCTTCTCGTCAGGAATGATTTTTGATTTACAGTTTTTGGAGCAGCTAGAATGGAAAACGTAGGAATGGGAAAATGGCCACCAAACATCGAAACATGGACACTTTTGTCAACTCAGCTCGTTGAGCGACTTAATACTTGATGTTACCTCGTCTGCAGCTTTGGGGGGAAACCACTTGAGACGTGAAAGAAGATTGTTGTCATCGCCTGACGGAGACCAAACTCTGGATGAGTCTTCGATACAACGAGCAGAATTTCGTATCTATAATAAAAATGCTGTTTACTCTATTGTTTGACGAAGTGACAGCGGTGTTTTGACAATACTGCGTGTGCACGCTCTCGGCTATGCAGTGTATTACTAATCTTCCTTCGCGACACTAGCATTCAGGTGGAAATTGCATGGAAATTCTATTCAGATAGTTGCTTACGTTTTCATTTCCATCATGTTATTCGTGTCCAGCAAAAGTGTAGAATTTGAAGTATCTATTCTACCACGACCTGATCCAAAACAGCCACGAGACTAGAAAACAACAGTAAATCAGTTGAAGGATTGTTTCTGAAAAATTTCGTAGGAACCATTGTGTGGAAGGATTTTCCATTTTTTCCAAATAAAGTTAACGAATAAACTCTATTCGGCTAAGCTAATCATGGTTTAGAAATGTAGAGTAACCTAAGTTAATCGAGAACATAAACATAGAAGAAAGGCGGCCATCTTTAAGCGAGAATATTTTACTGTAATGGAAACAGTATTGCCATTACCCTACCGCATTGATAGGCAGAAGTACATCGTCAGCCTCGGAGACAAGTGGTTCTCGAGTCAGATTGCTTGGAACGAACTCTTTATCGTCGACATCCCTGCAATACCAAACGAAGCTCATGCCGTCTGTACCAGCAAAATCCGGATCTGAAGATGCAGAGGAATCTAGGGATCCCTGGAAGCCAAAAGGTGCGGTATAGAAGGATCCTTCCACCACAGCAGCTTTAAGCCAGGGAGTTTGAACCACTTGGATGTAAAATTTGTCAATTCCAAAAACATCTGGCAAACCATTCATCTCGACCCGGACACTGATCTCATAGAAACCGTAGGGTAAATCATTTCCGGGCAGTAAAAGATCCCGGGTGGAAATACCGGAGTGATAAAGGGACTTCGCTAAACTGGATACAGGAACTGTTCTCATTTCGCGAGGGTCGTCGTCAAATTTAAACACACTCCATGTTGCCCTTGTTCGTTCTGTGTTCTCACAATCAATGTCGTTCTGGGTGGACAAAGAAATGACGACTGAGCGGTATACTTGAGCCGCATTTAAGACGTTGGATGTATTTGGAGCTAAACCTAAACATCAGATGGATGCAGGAAAATATCAAAAATGTATTAAGTTGAGGTAATGCATTCTAAATCTCGGTTTAAATGGCACTAAACATAAAATACCTGTTATTGTGACGTTTGGATTATGGCAAACGTAGGCCATGACAACGACGATCATGTCTTTTGTTACCATGGAAACCTCATTTGACGCGTTCATCCTGACGTCATAAGAGCCAATGTTAAGATAGACATGCTGGACGACGATCTCCTGTGTACCTGAAGCCTTCGGGAAAAACTTGAAACGAGGTACAGTCAAGATATTCGGGTTAATCGCAGTAACATCAAACTTTGTGGTACACGAGGCATCACCAAACACCAGGAGAGAACTATTGTCTCCTAAATCAACCCACATACAAGTCTGGGTGCCGAACTTTTCCAGCGAAATTGTAAACGTGATGGTTTGGTTTTCTTTCACAGGACCGTCGCTCGTTAGACTTTTCAGAATAAAACTTTCCTTAAGTTCAATGCTACCGTGTGCTAATGTTGAATTGATGCTGTTCTCTAGTTTCAGGGTAATTTGGCAGTTCTGACTCGTCTTGCTTGGAAAGATCTTGTCGAAAAAGGACTGAGACTCAGAGATCGTACCATCAGCATCGCAATTGAACACCCAAGACACAGTCGTAACTGGACCTCCTATTGGTAAATGAAATGATCGAATTTTCAAAAGATAACGATACGTTGGACAATCAATACGTCACAAATTCAGATCATTTGATTTGGTCGGGACGGTTTCACTCAGGGCGGGAGACAAGACAGGTTGAATAGAGAAACAATGTTTACAGTACACAAGATTTTCACATCACACAAGGTTTTCATATCTTTTGATATCTTACCTGCATACGAGCAATTGAACTTCACGGGATGTTCAGCTGGAAATACATTTCGCTGACTCCCACGACCCTCGATGTTTACCCCAAAGTCTGAGTAGCTTGTTAACATTGTGAAAGACACTTGGGTGATAACTTTTAAAACTTCGACTTCGATATATGTGGGAGAACTGGACGCTAAATTTGAAGCTATGGCACTAATATTCACCACGCCATCTGGGTCAAAGAGGCCTGGATCGGATATCAGACAATCGCATTGGCCGCCAGTGTTGGTAAGTGGCCCTGCATTGCAGCATGGGATACCGTTGTATGATACAGCAATTGTGACACTCGTACCAGCGGTCATGTCCCACACGACAGTGAAACTTTGCCCAAATTTCTGAGCTGATATAGGTTTAAGTACGAAGCCTGCAATTGAAGCATAGCCTGGCGTGGTCGATACTGGATTTGCAGTCGTTCCAAGTGGAGGATTTGCAGTCGTTCCAAGTGGAGGATTTGCAGTCGTTCCAAGTGGAGGATTTGCAGTCGTTCCAAGTGGAAGATTTGCAGTCGTTCCAAGTGGAGGATTTGCAGTCGTTCCAAGTGGAGGATTTGCAGTCGTTCCAAGTGGAAGATTTGCAGTCGTTCCAAGTGGAGGATTTGCAGTCGTTCCAAGTGGAAGATTTGCAGTCGTTCCAAGTGGAAGATTTGCAGTCGTTCCAAGTGGAGGATTTGCAGTCGTTCCAAGTGGAAGATTTGCAGTCGTTCCAAGTGGAAGATTTGCAGTCGTTCCAAGTGGAGGATTTGCAGTCGTTCCAAGTGGAAGATTTGCAGTCGTTCCAAGTGGAGGATTTGCATCAGTGGCTAAAGGGACTGTAGGAGGTGGGCTATAAGCTGTAAAAAGACAAGTTATTAATGCTCACCCGAAGTTGGCAGTGTTTTTACCCAACCAAATAATTTAACAATTTATACAAAATAACGCCACTGTTCTTAGTAGCAAATCGCTTGAACTTTGTTGCATCATGCTGTGAAGCTTAGGAAACAATTTAGCGGAATGATTTTGGGAAAATACCCTTATTTCTTTAATTCTTATTATTTCGTGTAGTTTACAATTTTGATTTCTAGTAAATAGTGCAGAGCAGAGGTCATTACAATTGTTTTATTCTGTCTCAAACCTCTAAGGTTTGAAACATACGTTTAAGTGCAAGTCTTGCACATCAGGTACGTTTGTGTACGAGATTCTTTTTTCAGTACAACAAAAGTGGAACTTACTTTCACATAAATCCCCAACATAGTTAGATGGACAGAAGCAGGCAGCATCGCCAGTATTTGAATACATTCCGCAGGCACCGCCGTTCTGACATTCAGGGTGGTCAATGCATGCTAAAAAATTAAAATAACTAGAAATAAATGCATGTTCATGCCAACATCCCGACTTCCTTCTCCAAAACTATGCTCTATAATAGACCTTTCTTATAATGACGTCAAACGCAGAAAGTCTAATGTTACACGAAATTTGATTGGCTCCACAAAACTATCAAGCCAATCAAACTTCGTGTAACATCAGACTTTTCGCGTTTGACGTCATTATGAAAAAGGACCTTTCTTATAACGGCGCTCTTTTTCACTCATCGCAAAATCAATTCGCAAGCTTGCTACGAGTGTTTGCTTCGAAATAAAATAAACTGCAAGCAATGTGATTGGACAAAATTACTCGCAGCAAGCTTGCGGGTTGTTTTTTTGGGATTAGCGAGTGGGAACCTTTAAATCCACCAGTTTTTGAGCTGGTTAAATATGAAAACGCCAAAGGGTGTACGAAAGTTCGTGCCAATAAATTTAGTGTAGTGTAAACGGGGCTTTCATAATTGCAGTTTCATTGCTTTTCAAGCACTTTTACAATGATTGAAAAAACCACTATCCGGTGGATAGCGTTAACCAGCCTTCAAAAACCGACCCCTTATAAAAAGACTACTTACGGCTTTTACAGGAATAAAGTTCCATTCTCAGTCCAGCTCCTCCATTTCCTGATGTCTTTGGGTGAACTTTTACGAATATTGCGGAGAAACGAAAAGAAAAATCGTTTTCTACAACAGTATTTCCATCCGTATTCCCTGTAAATATCTAAAAAAAGATGCATTTCAAGACAATTATTAGCTACCCCACCGTTGCTTAATTGGATGAAATCTGGGCTTAAACTAATCACTTATGGACAGACTTTATGTTGAAAAATTCCAAAGCCCACTACACGGGATCTGAGCAAATTCTTCGGCCTGATTCACACTATAGCTCCTAAGAATCGGGGACCCATTGTATTATTTCCCGATAGACAAAGGATCTTGCGCACCAGCGACCTCAGACAAAGGGAATCCCAGATTCTTATAGGACAAGTGTGAACTAGCCCTAAAAACCTATTTCTAACATGCTGATGGAGAAAAAAATAGTGCAAAAATACAGAGACTTTAAGGTTGGCGCCTTTAAGGCAAACGCCAAATCCCTCTCCAAATTTGTGTTATACCATAAAACTCGTAATATTAATTAAGCGGTGATGCAAGAAAGCAAACACGACATGCAGTTGTTTGTGTTCCACGTTTCGCGAATAAAATGCAATGCTTCGACAGCTGCATGTGAGTTTACGCACGCAGTCGTTTAAGCATTAAAGTTCCTACGGCGAACGTGCAAAACGTACTGCAAAGCCAAAAATACTGTTCTGCTAAATAGCTACATCAGCATTGGCCTATACATTGCTTACTGACATCATTCTTGAATATCACCAGTTTTATGGTAAACGTTTATATGGACGCTTTTAGAATGAATTACATTCAAGTTGGGTGTTCTATAAATAGATGTTCTAGGAATGGCAATGTGTGAATCCCGGAAATATGTTGTTTACTCTGAATAAACAACTAAAACAAGGTATTTCTAGTTACTCACCTTTGCTGTCCCGTTTTCTGTGTAATTAACGAAGTTGTTTCCATCCAATGAATACGAGATTGAGTATGTTTTGACGAAGGTGTCTTCCGAATTCGGCTTGCCTTGAGTAGCAATACTAGTAAGAGTAACCTCGCTGCCTAAATCCACCATTATCCATGGTTCTAAATCATTAATATCAGGCCACCAACATTTTTTGCCGTCCAAGCGAGCATACCTCGGGCCAAATGTGTCACGTTGTGAACTGGATGCAGTGATTTTGGCATCTAGTATTTTAGACTCGTCTGCGATACCAACCGCGTCGAATACACTACAATCTAAAGTTGGTGAATATAAATGTTATGGTGTTAGGAACGTTTCCCTTATGACCATAGGTTTGTTCGTACTTACGTTTATCACAGTTTGGACCACTATAATATTCCGTACATCGACAGATATAGCTATCGTCTGTTTCGAAACAAGTTCCTCCATAGTTACAAGGTGATGTTGCACATAACTGTTCGACTATAATTGCACAAATGAATAAAACAACATTGAGAAAGGATGATTAAATATTGAATACCAAAGTTTGTTCTTAAAGTCAGCTTACACTTTTAACTTTCAGTGCGATTATTCTTTTGGTAGATGTGAACGATTGAGTAGTTACGAATGCTTTTGAACATCCGTGACTTATTCACTCGTTTACATCTATCAAAAGAAGAAAAATCGCACATAAAACTGCAGCAAAAATCGCAAGTGTAAACGGGCCTTTATGATAAATATAGTGCAATCAAGTAACATAACATGTGGTATGTTATGATACGACATGATACTGTGGAATGTTTGTGTACAAAAGGAGGGGTGGTAGGGTATATATAGTGTCTTTGTAAGATCAGTATAGGAGGGTATGAAGCGGAGTATAGTATTGTATTTCAGGATATTGTGTGCGATGTTTTAATTGTGAGATAAAGTGACGGGATGAAAAATGTTTGCACTGATGAGGAAAATGAAGTTGTGCGTGGTGCTGTGTAAGTATGAAACATGGACATACTGTGGCAGGGACCGCGGAGCGTTTTTCGTATTGCTGGGGCTCGGAGCCGCGCGCCTGCTAGGAGAGTCCGGGAAAATTTTGAAATATGGTCTCTGAAATCGCCGCAAATGCCTCTCAATTTAAGGATTAATGGAAAATAATAGATAGTATGTAAAGTTTCCAGCATGTTTGGCGCTCATAACAAAAATTAAACAATATAACCATGCTTTGGTTATGATGTCAAATTTTTTAAAATGGATAACCACGCTGTTTTAATGGCCAAATGCTTGTCCTATGTAAAGTTTCCAGCATGTTTGGTGCTCATATACAAACATTAAACAATATAGCCATGCTTTGGTTATGATGCCAAATATTTTGATATGGATAACCACGCTTTTTTAATGGTCAAATGCTTGTCCAATGTAAAGTATCCAGCATGTTTGGCGCTCATATACAAACATTAAACAATATAACCATGCTTTGGTTATGATGTCAAATTTTTTGAAATGGATAACCACGCTGTTTTAATGGTCAAATGCTTGTCCTATGTAAAGTTTCCAGCATTTTGCCGCTTGTATTGCTTGTAAATTTGAGCGAACTGAAAAATATTCGAAATTAAAGACTAATTACGGAAAATTATTGGTGGGGCTAAAGCCCAGCAAACCACCCTGCTCCGCGGTCCCTGTGTGATATGCTGCGCTTGTAGCCGTTTTGAACTGTCACGGTGTATTGCATGTGTTAGACAATATGCACGTTAGAATAACGTCTTGAAATGAAGGATGTATCAAACTGAATCAACAACTATACAATTAACTGTTAGATTGAGTATTTGTAAACACTTACCTTCGCAGTGCGGTCCAGTATAACCGGCAGCACAGATGCACTCGTAACTAGCGGGTAATATTTCATTACATATTCCACCATTTAGACAAGGGTTTCGTAGACAGTAATGAACTACAAAGAAAGATAGTTGGTGAGATCCTTTCTAGAACCGAGTTAATAGCAAAGATCATCCACTTGATAATCCAGTCACTTTCCACTATCACCCTTTGCCGTGATCGTCAAGGTGTCATGCCTATGGTTTTCAATTTTTTGCAGAAGGGACGAGATAGAGAGAATCGAGGCAGGAAAACCCGTCGCGAAATATTTCCTGAAAAAACCTATTGAATAAATATATTCAACTTAAAGCTACTTTCCACTCAGGAACATTCTCCTTTGGATCGGACAGGACAGGGAAGTTTCCTTTGTATAAACGCTGCCTAGAACTCGCCGACAAAGGAAATTTCCCTGTCCGTTCCGATCCAAAGGAGATTTTTCCTGAATGGAAACTAGCCTTTACATACCTCCGTTGCAACCATAGAACTCCAACCTCACCACTGCCTCGATGTTAAATTCCAGTGGTAAAAATCTCACATAGCGTGCCATGATCATAGGATCAATATTCCTGCGAGAAACATTATCGAAAAGCTCCATTTCTCCAATAGTGAAAGTCTATTTAAAGAAAGTCATGAAAGTAAGTGTTTCATATGAATGCCATCGGTTGTTATAGAGTGCTGGCATTTCGTTTTCATATTCGATTTCCTCAACTGATCAAGGTGATCTTCTTCGCACAGTGAAGGAAAAGCTATGAGAAGATTGAGGCGCCTTTCACCGTTTCACTCAAATGAAGTGTGCATGTGCATAGTTCCACTCGAAATTAAGACCCTTTCACTCAATGAGTTTAAGAATTGAGTGAGCTTTTAGGATACAGGCTTTACGCTCAGGATCATTATTATAATGGATCGTGCAGGTCCTCAAAGGATTAAACATGATAGCGTAGTGCATTTTTACCTTAATTCCATCGGACACTAGATGATCCTGAAACGTTACGCCATCTTGGCTATAAGCAAGTTTAGATTTTGTAACTTTCGCTTCGAATGCTCCTTCCTTGCCTTGCATTAGGAAATATATCAGCGTTGTATTCATCTGTTGAAGTAAAAGCAAGTTAAATGTAGGAGGAATTTCGTTTTAGACCAATCGGCTAGTTTTTTGCAATTTCACTAATCAAAACTTTAAGAGACAGCAGCCTTTAAGAGAAATCCAGCAAAGTACTTGCCGTGAAATCAATTTGTAGCCAGGAATTTTCGAAAGTACTTGGACTCCAACCGCCATTTGTCACGTCAGCAATTGGTTTCTGGTTAAGTCTTGCAAACTTTGCCTTATAGAGACCGTCGGAAGTCTCCGAAGAGCTTGTGATTTGAGCGTCCAGTATATCGCCGCTCTCTATACCAAGAGGTATTGAATTCTTGCAAGCTGTGAGGCAACCGCATAAATTTGTTTTAATTACCTCCATATTGTTAATAAAATGGTGCTTTCAGGAACATTATGTCTTCCGTCGCGGGATGAAAATAATTTAGTATGGTTGATAAATTGTACGATAAATTAATACAAACAAACAAACAAACAAACAAACAAACAAGCAAACGAACAAGCAAGCAAGCACACAAACAAACAAACAAACAAACAAACAAACAAACAAACAAACAACAAACAAACGAACGAACAAACCAACGAACAAGCAAACGAACAAGCAAACAAACAAACAAACAAACAAACGAACGAACGAACGAACGAACAAGCAAACAAACAAACAAACAAACAAACAAACGAAGGAACGAACGAACGAACAAGCAAACAAACAAACAAACAAACAAACAAACAAACGAACGAACGAACGAACGAACGAACAAGTAAACAAACAAACAGATACCTACGGTGTCAAATCAATTACGATTTCACAGAACAACATTTTCTGTCACTAGTCAATGTTCTTATTTCCGAATCAACACTTTTTTACGATACGCCAATTTATATCAAACATGCATGCCCCGTATGCTGTTCGGTAGATGTCGTTGTTTATGGTTCAAACCGACTTTACTTTAAGCGAACGGGTATGTAGAATCAACAATAGGCTGCAAGATGAAGTACTTACATTCACATGTAGGGCCGAGAGTTGATGCAGGACACGTGCAAGACGTTGAACTGACGCATTTTCCGGTATTCTGGCATGGGTTAGTCGGAAGACAGACTGTAAAAGAAATAGTAATCCTTATATAGAGTAATTTAAGAGATTACATGAAGGGCAATCGTCAGAAAGGACGAAAACATTACCAGATCTCGGGAGATGGTCCTTCTATAATCCTACCTTCAGAGCAGACGAAGAACTCCACTCGTAGCGCTATGAACATTCCCCATGTTTTCGGATTAATGCGGACGTATCTCGCTTCTATTTCCGGAGAGAAAGTTTGTCGTATGATCGTCGAAATTTGAAGAATACTGTTACCAGTGAAGACCTACATGTAATTAACAAGTAATTAGCAGAATCAAACATTGAAATGCCAAATCAAACAGCTAAGTGTAAAATTAAAATGTGGAACATAAAACGGCACTTTGGATTTGAAGTTAATGAGTTCACGGCAACCAGGTATATAACCCATCGTAATTATCGATTCTCTGGTTTTGATTTGATTCATAATCTTTTACAAGCACACAATTTGATGAAATACATAATAAACGAAACACATGCACTAGCTCCGAAAAACATCATCTTGCGAACCAAAAAGTTGAGTTATTAATGACGCAAAATTTGGGTGATATTTCGACTTTAGTCCAAAGTTCTTGTTAAGCCAACTACAAAAACTGATTGTTTTAAAATGACTGACTTAGGAATGAAGTCGCGAAATATAACCAGAATTATTTCGTCTTGTGTACGTGTTTTACTCACCCCATCTGTTTCGTTTTTTATATATATACCTCATGGATTTCAAATTCAATGTAAATAGTGGAAAAGAGGAATGATCAAAATGATATGAAACAAGTTAACATCGATAGTTTCTTCACCTTTGCCACGCCTTTTTTTATATAAACTTGAAACGTTACGCCATCATTTCCATAGCTAACAGTGTAGGTTTCCACACGAGAAGACGCGCCACCTCCCTGCGTTTCGATCGCACCAACAGTTCTCACAGACAAAAAGTCAATCTGTAGCCATGGATTGCTGTCATCAGAATTTTCCGGAGACCAATAGTTTGTTGGGTGATTAAGTCGAGCGTAAATGTCACGATAATGGACATCGTAGTTGGAAGAGGCATTTATCTGGAAATCACGAATCGTCGTGCTTTCCATTCCAACAGGAACTAGCCAACAAGCTAATGTAATAAAATTTAATACTCTTAGTTTAAAATTGAACCGCATTTTGGGAGGATTTGGAACAATTGACAGGCCTATATCGCATCAATTGTAACAGGGCCTGCAGTCCTATAATCATGTGAAATTTTGTTTCCAACATTCAAGTGAAGTACATAATGCTAAGATAATTCCTCAAAAGAAGATGCTGAAAGATGCGGATTTTAAAAATGCTAGTTTAGGGTATATTTACGAACAATACTTACGTGTTTTACAAGTTGTAAGCTCCATTTTCAAAATGGGTCGCGAGTTAAATGATAGTGGGTGAATCCGAATATATCGAGCATTGATACTCGACGAGAAGAGACTCACAGCCATGGTATTATTGTCAACATTTGCTTTAAAAACCTGAAAGAACATTATGGCGTGAGACACTTTGGAGGATGATAAACAAGGCGGAAAATTTGCTTTAGACCAATCAGCGAGTTTGTTTACATTTTTAGTAACCCAATCAGAATGCATAAATTTCACTACTTCCGGTAAAAAGGCACATTATTTACAATTTTACATGAAGTATTAAAAATGTAGGTATTCTGATTGGATTGCCTGAAGGTTAGGAAGGTTAATTGATAATTAGGGGAGTCAAAAGTGAGGGTGAAGAGGGATTATTATGAGGTTGAAAATGCACCATTCGGATAGAAAATCAACGAGGAAGGACTCAATTAGCACATGACAGAATAAACACCTTCTTTCTTCCATCTTCTTGGTAATCTGCAAAGTTTATGCCATCGTCTCCGTAGCTAACGGAAAAGGTTCTAAGAAAGTACCCCATTTCATTCGGCGTTTTGGTTTTAACCATTGAAATTTTCACGCTTTCTTCAAAATCCACCTGCAACCAGGCGTTGTAATCATTCTCCCCAGGTCGCCAGCCGTCTTCTGCTGTGCCCAATCTTACAGCACTCGCAGGATACGAGGCAGAGAACACGGAAGAGGCCGTTATCTGAGAATCGCTAATGTTTCCATCCGCTAAACCAAGATCTTCTTCAACTTGACATACTGCAATGAAATCATTCATAAACATCCCACAATTTTAAATTAACCATTTGTAGTATTTGGGGAAAGCATTAGTATTCATGAAACATTAGTATTCTTAAACGAACAATATTTAAAAAATCGTACCTATGTCGCATAGATCTCCACGATAATATGACGAACATTCGCATTTGAAATTATCCCACTGGTCGGTGCAACTTTGGTTATTCCGACACGTGACTGATGCACAATTGTCAATTCCTGAAATTAAAGTGTTAATCAACTATCATATCAATGATAATCGATGATAATCATATCGATTATCATCGATTATCATATCAATTATCATCGATTGTCATATCAATTATCATCAATTATTATCATCGATTATCATATTAATTATCCTCGATTATCATATAAATTATTATCGATTATCATGTCAATTATCATCGATTATCATAGGATTATCATCAATACTGTATAGTAGTAATATTACTTCCTTAAACTTGAACAACCAGCTTAAAACCTACCGTCAAAACAGCCGTATATCTCAGCCCTCAAGACACACGCTTGATTACACGATACCGGGTGAAAACGGACGAATTGAGCATAAATGTGTGAAGGGAGATTATGTTTGACGACGGAACTTGCATCATTATTAGCCTGGAAAGTCTACAAAGAAAAGTTACGGTAAGAAAAAGGCGTGGTTTATGGTATAATTAAGAGAGCCTGTCATCGCAGTTGAAGTTTTACTATTCTAAAATAACCGTATAGTGTCAGTCTATGGTCCCTCAAACGTTCTTACTGTGATCACAGGGACCTAGAATTTCTCAATACGTACAAACCGTTATGGAAATGAAAAGAAATTCCACGTTTAATTGTACATATTGAGAAATGAATAGCATGTAACTTGCAATATGTACACGGAGCCCTAAGACTTCGCTATCTCTTCATTTTACTCCTTCTTTCTTATACAGTCGAAACTTCGACTTTGATGAAGAATACAACAAAAAGTAGTATTCTTACTTTGACGCCACCGTTGAATTTATAAAACGCGAAGTTATTCTTACTTTGACGCCACCGTTGAATTTATAAAACGCGAAGTTCTCTCCATCTGTACTGTACGAGAACTTAAATTTTTTCGTCCACAATTTGTCGCTTACGTCTCCTTGCGTAGCCACACCACTGATCAATGCGTCTTTTAGAAGATCAACTCCAAACCACGGGTCTAAGTCTGATTCATTTGGTTGCCATCCACAACAGTCGTTAGAGTTGAGCCTAGCGTACTTTTTGGAATAGCGATCACCCTTACTGCTCGACGACATCAGCTGCGTTTTCTCTATAGTCTCGTCCTCTAAGCCAAGAGCCTTTGACGACACGCAGTCTAAAAACGAAAACAACATTGTGAAAATTCGGCAATCTATATAAGATTGATTACCTTAATGATTCTAATAAATTATGATTTTGAATGATGGCGGATAATGACATTATATCATATCCAAGTTTTAAATACAGTGCATCAATGTTATAGATATTCTGTCAGGGCATGCAAACGAAGTTATGTCGCGCTATCAGATTCAGCGCAGTATTTCAAACTGCCGTTTCTGGAATTGTAGAGCTGAATCGCTCTTTACTAAGAATTTATTATATTTCTGGGGTGCATGGATACGCTCTGGTTGTGCCTTAAGATGCATTATTTGTATTAATTTTGCATTTTAGGCATTTTTGCATCCGGTTTACACTGTCAAATTCTCTGTGGTCACAGTTGGAATCTTCAAACGTCGAATCCTGAGTTTCAAAGTATTTGGTTGAAATATTCAAGGAAACTGAAACAGGGAACTCGTTTTATTCGCTTGGGATTTAACAATGCAAATTTTCAACTGTGAAAATACAGCCTTATTACACGACCCTCGTATGATGATGATGATGATGGGTGCATGGTGTTGATGGATAGTAATGGTTGAAGAGGGTCATAAACGATTAGGGTAGTGATTAGATCCTTCTTACCCTTGTAACATCCAATAAATTCCACTCGAAATCCGCAGAGATGTTCCCATGTTAACGGTTTTATGCGAAAATACCGTGCAATGGTTGGTGATATTTCATTTTGGACAACTGTTGAACTATCAGTATTACCATTGAACACCTGGCAGAAGAGGAGATAAATCAAGGAGATAATTTAACACGAGAGTGATGCCGCATGGTAAATACATCATGGCGATAAATGGACGATAATATGTCATGCCTTGAGAGCGACGGCAAAGTTGACTTCTTTTGCAAAATTTTGCTGAAACATTCAGTTTGCTAAACTCTCTTTCTTGTCTCAAATAATAATGATGGCATACAGTTTTTTAAATTCAAATTCTCTTTCATGTAAACTTGAGGCCTTGACGGATAAGCTGGGAAGAGAGGCAAATGCTATGTCCCCTTTGTTCCCCAAAGAACTGCTTTGTCCACAAATATTTTTGGGGAAAACATCCCTAGATACCTCTCCAATTTCCATCTTCTCTAAATTACCCCTTCCTATAATGTCGGTTCGGTTCATTACCCCCTACCTTCCCCCCACAACCACCCCCTCCTCCCCAAAATAATTTTGATTTCCGCATGGTAATTTTTAGTATACCTTGGGTGCTCCTTGAGTTTCATTATATCCCATAAAACTGTAGCCATCATCGCTATAATGTAGTTCGTACGTTTTCACGAACATAACAGTGTCCACGAGTCCTTGCGTTTGTACACCTTCCACAATGACCTTCGCTATAAAATCGACTTGGAGCCAGGGCGCCGAATCGGCTGGGGCAGCACGCCAGCCATCCAGATCACGACCAGAGATTTGTTGATTCAATCTTGCTAATTGCGGAGTTGTACGGGACGACGAAAAGGAGGATGCAGTTATTTGAGAATCTTGGATGAGGCCGTTCTCGAAACCAAGGGCTGCCCTATCTCGACAGCCTGAAACCATAAAAAGAACACGTCTGCTAAGTCACATTCGCTTTATTGGATGCGTTAAACGTCTCCATGGAGAGGGGTTAGGATTGCCGCGATAATAAACATATAATATATCAGTGCATGGTCGCTTTGTTAGGTACAATATTCCAATGAGACGAAGAATTTGAACAAAATTCATTTCCAGTTTGTTATGGGGGCCGTGTGGCTGGCTCTGACTGGAAGGAACTAGCCAGTTGGTCCAGTTCTCGCTACTGATTAATGATGACGGCGAACATTTCGATTCCTTTCCTTAAGTGGTTCAAGGCAAATTGTGTGAAGCAGAAATAAATAAAGATTACCTGGATAGCAGCCAACAAGTTCAAATCTCATAGTACAGTATTTACTCCACGTTCTTGCAGTAATACGAAAAATCTGATTTGTTACTGGGCTTGGAAGATCACGAGTGACAGGTGATTTATCATTTCTGTTACCAGTGAAGTCCTAAAAAAATGTCCTTATTTATATGTGATCGAAATTCGTTATTTGCAATCGGGAAGAGAAATGAGAGAAATTACGAAAGAAACAGACTGAATTGGAAATACCGTATTTACTCGATTAAGCGCCGCCCCCGAATGAGCGCCGCACTAATTATTTTCAAATTCGGCGCTTAATCGACGCACCGTCAAAATTGTTAGAGGCGCCATTGTTAAACCGGTCTTTAGAATTATCGTAAGGTACAGGTCAGTCGTGAAGGCGGAGATTCCAGTGGTTTGTGCGAGGAGGTTTATTTTCTGTAAAATGTCCAAATGCCCGCTGTCAAAATGGGGACATTGGGCTACATCTAACTTTCAATTCTTTTTTTTTTTAAAGTTCTTGTTACAATTCACAAATAATATTTTTTAAAAGCACCGCCCCCCGATTGAGCGCCGCCCTCGAATAAGCGCCGCATTAAACGAGTAAATACGGTACACTAAATTTCAAAAATGAGACACACTGAATTTCAAAAATGGAAACACACAAAATTTCAAAAATGAGACACACTGAATTTCAAAAATGAAAACACACTAAATTTCAAGCAGGTTTTCTAATGGTTTGCGATAGGAAAAAAAACTTCATAAATATGCAATCGAGACTTACCTTTGGGGCACCCGATGAATCCGAGACAGAAGTCCATGTACCTTCACCAATCCTGGACCTCACCCTATATTCTTTCACCCATTGTCCAGAATCCTCGCGACCTTGTGTGATGACCTTTGTTACAGTCACAGGCCGCAAGAAATCAACCTGTATCCATGGCTTGCTGTCTCCCAAATCAGCTCGCCAAGCTCGCGGCGTATTAAGACGAGATGATTTTGCATCAAGATTTTGGCTAATATAGGACGAAACCGAAAGTTGAGAGTCTTGAACACGACCATCTTCAATACCCATCCGTATGGGTTGCGTACATGAGCCTATATATAAAACAGAAACTCAAGGTTATATGGACTGTAAACATTGAATTATATCGAAGGTTGGTTTTCACTGATTGCTGAAAAAAGCCAAAGATGGCTGAAGTTAAAGCTATTCCTGGGCATGAACTCCAACAATCACGGACAGGCAATTATACCGTCAATGTTTTTACAAAGGTAAGTATTGGTTCGTAGTCCTCTCCGGCCGGCGTTTTTTTTGCAGGAGAACTACAGAGCCGGACAAAATTGAGACCTGAACTAAGATGCAGCAGAAACTTTCGTGTATACACCGAAAGAAGAGGCACCAGACTGATTTGAAAAAAGAGAGAAGGTTGAATTGTGATACTGCCCCGCGATATTCGCATTGGAAAAATTTTAAAATTAATGGTCTATATTCGGTGGTTTATCCGTCGTATCTGCATTGAAGTTACTCTGCTTTTCTAGCGACGGATTAATGCTGACGGACTAATTCATGAAACATTACATACCTTCCGATAATCCCAAGAGGGTGGAAAAAAGTATAATCTAGAAAATCAGATAGTAAATAGAATTGGTATAATTTGTATTGTTAATCTCTAACGCGGCAGGGGGGGGGGGTAAAAAAACAATCTGCCCCGACCCCCAGGCCTGTAGATGCCCCCGGGACGTTTCGCCACCCAATTAAGTCATTTTATCACATCACAGTTTATCGATCAATGACTCAAGGGTTAAACACGAGAACCCCCCACCTCCATTTATTTCACCAGGTTTGTGAAAACTTTGAATATTATGCGATAACTATATATTTTGTAAATACAGTCTAAATGAATACAAACGACAAAGTCCGGCACATCATTTCATCTTGAAACTAATTTAATCACGCGCTTAACTCCTGCTAAGATGTTAATGAAATAATATACAAGTGAACTTTAATCAAGCATATAGCTTACGAGGAACTGAACATCCCTAGCATTTTTTAGCTCTGCCCCAAAAATTCTAAGCTAATCTTCATAACGGCTTTGGTGAAAAATTCTACAACTATGCAACAAGCATATATCTTGTCAGTGAGGTGAGAACCTCGTTTTATGGCCGGAAGCGTAAGTATTGAGGAGCATAGCAACGCTATACATTGATAGATTCAATTCATTTTATTTGGTTTATGCGCTTTAAGGGTAACTAAGATACATATGTATACATGTTTCTGATATATTTATTATTCATTATAATTAGCGATGAATTATTAAAGCTTGAATATGATGTTGAACAAAAAAATAATTTCATATCATACTTTACGATAACTAGATTATTTTTGCAAAGCTGACGGATTCTGGAAAGCCGGCGATGCTGCCCAGTTATTTTTCACTTTCTGTAGAACTAAAAAAATATCTTTCGAATCGATTTCCTATTTTTTATCCAGGAAACTAATTCAGTTAGGCGAGCCCATGCTAAGGTGTTAATGAAATTTACAATTGAATATTTTCCAAGCCCAGCGTGTTCGAAATGGATATAACCAAAATATCTTTCGCACTTCTCATTTTATTGCCTTTGCAATAAAACTTTCACGCAATTCTCTCCGTCTTTAAATTTTGTCGCTACAATAACAATTTTCGCCTTTTTGTAAACACACCATTACCAAACTCACGAAACAGTTCCCAAACCAACGTTCATACTTACCATAAAGATATACATCGTACGATTCGTTGCTTCGGAAAACGAATTTCAACTTTACCATAAATCTATACGCAAAACATCATGCGCATAGGAGACGTCCCGCCATCCGAAGACATTGGACCGTTTGTCACAACGACGCAGTTCAGACGGAGACCAGTACCTGCCATAACCACAATATAAAACAGCGAATTCTATTGGACAAACCAACCGCGGAACAAGATAAACCAATCAAAACACCTGTGCATAACCTTAGCAACGAATTATAAACATTAAAATGTATTTGCTTCGCGCACGTGCACGAGGCCTGGTAATGAGAAAGAATGATGATTAATAATGGAGTGTTTCTTTTATGAAAAAAACTGCATTGAAAACATTCCGCCGGCCCTTAACACTTAAATTTGTGAGAAAAATATTTATATAACGGAAAATGTTTTATATTATAAAGGTATTTAGTCATAATAAATATTTAGTCACAAAGATGACTTCATAGTCATCGAGTGCGAGTTTCAAAAGGCTGCAAAACGAATTTATTTTATGTGTGTAGAGATCAATTTGACATTGACTAGGTGTTCGGAAAAAGATTTTATATGTTGAGAGTAAAATGCCTTGAAATTTCAACATTATATCTTTGTATCCTCTTATATTTGAGACTAATTTGAAAAAGAATTGCCGCCAAAAAATTGCAAACAAATTACCGCCAAAATGCCAAAGGGCAATTTCTTAAAATCGAATTGCACAACGTCAATTTACTGAGTGAAGAACGATTTTTATTTCAATATTCTACCATGGATAATAAAATCACTATCTTTTAACCATCACTTTCATAATCACGTCTTTTAACTATCCACGATTCAACTGTGCATAAATTTAGTTAATAAATATATAAAATACAGATATAAATAAATTATAATACATTTAGATATTCTGATATACCTATACCTAGGTGTATAGTCAAACTTGTCCCATATAAGGGGTATTTTACCTCCCCGTAAGACGGCGGGGAAAACCCCTGTTTTGATATAACAATCTAGATACTGCCAGACTTTGTCAATTTAAATAGTAAATCAGTCGTTAGCGTTAAAAACGCTATTTATAGAGCGATTCTTTATGAACCAAACTGAGTTCTGTACTCATAAAAATACTAAATACTATAATATGATTACTGGATATAGCTACGCCAATACGCAGATACAAACATTAAAATACCTCATATAAAAGGTTAAGGGCAAGAAATTTCTTTCCTACGTGTATATAAACGAATATTAGACTGCTAACTAATGTTTTGTACAGGCTAAAGGAAAGGTACTTATATTCATCTGATCATCTCAGGCGAGAAGCTGCACAGGAGCCGTCCAGCTTTGAGCAGATTCGAACACAAGTTCCTTACAATTTGACACTAGTCGTCGTCACTGGAATGTGATCTGCGCTCGTATTCACTGTCTTCATATTCTTCGCTTTCTTCCACATCCACATCATCATCATCATCATCATCATCATCATCATCATCATCCAGTATATTTTCCATCAAACACAAAACGCGGAAGAATAAATCCTGTTGCTTGTCCTTTGGCACGGAAAAAAATCGTTTCTCTTCCAGCTTATCCTCGCCCAAACTTTGGTCAATAATTTCCAGAAAAAGATCTAACTTCTTTGCACGAGAATCCAGCATGGAACACGCCTTCTTGTAAGAAGCCTTTTCACTTTTCTTCGGCTTTAATGATTTTTGTTTCTTTTTAACAAGTACCACTTTACCACGCCTAAATCTTTTTTTGACGACCTGCGAAATATTCGCCGTAACGTAATCGATAATTTCCAGTTCGTTTTGAATTTCAGCAGTTTCTTCTTGAATCTCAGCGAAGGAGTCGTTGATGATGGCGATGAACATGTTCATGAGCACCATCACGTTTAAACCAATGAAAGAAAAGAAATACAGTGTTGCTACGGTGGGGTTGACCATGAAGATGGCTTCGAAGTCAAAATCTCCCAAGAGCATGCTAAATTGAGCCACCATTGACCTCATGAACGAGCTGTAATCTTCAAGTTCAGAACCGAACATAGCGAAGGCGAGAAGGGCAAACGCGAGGAATCCTGCGATAAACGGCAAACAGAAATTCAAAATAGGCGAGCTTATTCTCTCCAATGTTTTCCCGATGACCAGGAAGTTTTTGTTGAACCTCAACAATCGCAAGAAACGTAAGATGTAGAAGAACACAAGGACACCAAGGATGTAGGTCATCATGGCGTCTGCATTCGCAGCATATTGGAAACCAACGTAATCATTTGGATTCTCTCGTAGCTGAAGAAGATTTCTGTCAACTTCGTAGAGACGTGCCAGGAATAAGACGATCAATAGGAATTCACTGACAATGAGGATGACTTCAACCCAATTCCAGAAGCCTTTGAAGTAAGACCAGCGCTGTTTGTAAACGAGTTTCCCTTCCCTGAAGAGAAAATACATCATGAAGAAGATGACCAGGACATGAGCCAGAGTCTGGGCGCCACTGAGGTGAAGATAAAACCGCGCAGCTTGATACTGGGCACTGGTGATGGCAGCCGAAGATTGTGGAAATTCTACAAAGAGCGAAACGATGCCAAATAGGTTTGCATTCGCGTTGTATACGGTGAACTCTACAAACACAGCACGCGTTTGAACATCAATCCAGCCGTTCGAATGCAAGTCAGCAACCACAGTGTAAGCAGTGACAGTGTCATAACCAAGGTTTGCTGCGTAGCCGCTACCGCTGTACATAGTGATTGTACCCCAGTATGGAAAACCTCGAAGATCTATCATTGATTGATGTTTCCATCTTTCAAGACACGACAAAACTCTACCATCAGGTAACAATGCATTGTCGTTCACGACATACTCCTTTGGTTGAGCGCTGGCCAGCAAACGCTTCTTCTTTCTTCGTTTTTTGCCGCTCAGACTCCCCATGATTGGATCCAGTGCTCTTTTATGCCGAATATTCTGCACGTGTCCATATTCCACTTCGTTCCCGTTGAGCAAAAGTTTCGACCATTCCGACTCGGTCTTAGGCCCTGCAATATCGCGACGTTTTCGGGAGGTTCCCTTTCCTAGTGGTTTCCAGCTTACCTCATAAGACTCATCTTCCTCATCGCTCAGGGCATATCCACTGTAGCAATGGGGGATTATGTCTTTGAAGTAGCTGGAGACTGGGCACGAATCTAAAATTTAATTGGATGAACCCGTATTAGCCGATACGTTACCCAGAAAATGCTTCTGGTTTGCTGTGCAGGATTATGAACTTACCCTTCTCCACGCGAAGTAATCTTACACGCGGGACACCCACGAGATAATCGTGAATATTCCCCAGCCATCCTTTCGGGATTTCCTCACCGTTATACCACTCTTTTGCGTAAAGTCCAGGAACGAGCGTTTCACGTGCCCACATCCATAGAGAATCTGTATCAGAGATCTGCAGAAATACACATGTCAGACATACAGCACGGAGAACAGAAAAGTGGTACTATGTTTAGTGCAAAGTGGCGCTCAAATTGTGGCAAGACGTTAACAACTATGTGAAACTGTGACAACAACTGTGAAACTCGGGAATAATTAACGAGTCGAAATACCAATCGCATTGCAATACTTTATCACGTATAAACGTTTATAAACCCAAAATGAGGCTCGAACATAGGACAAATGACACATCTGTAGGAGAGTAACTGGGTTAATGCGCACTGAGGGCGTTCTCAGTCAAAGGTAATGCATAGTTGGTATCATGAATTGATAAAGAATTTCGTAAGTACATTCACGACAGATCTGTAAAATTTTTATTTCATTTAATAATACTTACTGTCGTTAGGTCAAGTCCATAGGCATCAACTTCTTCGAAAGTCTCGTACAAAGTTTTCGTTAATAAAAACGTGTCTGGATGTCTGTGGTATTGGGCTACGGCCATCAGCAATATCAGAAATACAAAGAAAGCAAACATCTCTTTCAAGGCAGCGTTCATCTTGAGCTCTTTCAGGCGTTTTTCTCTCGCTTTCCTCAGCTTGGCCGCACTTGGAGGACTGCAATGAAAGGAACAAAATGGCGCGTCACCTTGCTTCCCAGAGAAGAAACTAATGTCAGCGATTGTATGCTTAACCGTATCAAAGGCAGTTTGACTGCACAAATTTTTAACAACAGTACAGCATTTATCAACAGTACACAATGTGGGAAGTTAGTTAAGGCATTGCGTTTAACAAGAGCCCATACACTTCCGGTATAAGTTACCTGTAATATTTTTTTACTTTCCCTATTGGATTGCCAATGGCTCCCATCTTCCGTTTCAGTTCTGCCAAGTTTCGTTCAGCCAACTGTTTTTCCTCTACGTCAGGTTTATTGACCACAAGTCCCTCGTCACCAGTCTCCTCGCTGTCATCTGCCTTCTTGATAAACAATGCAAACACGACGGCGACAACAACGACTTTGATTGGTTGAAGAAGCAACACTGATTGGAAAAATGATGTAACCATGGCAATCACCCATTCTGTTGAAGTTTCCTCTCCCCACTGAATGCTGTAGAGCAATGTGAAAAATATCGAAGCGGCAGACGCGAGGTAACAAATCGCGTAGGCCATGTAGATAAAACAATATGGAAGTTTGCCTTTTGGTGAAGTTTGGTTTTCAATTTGAACTCCTTCGACTGTATCATTCCTTTTTATTGCGCCTCCCTCTTCGTCGTTTCCCTCTTCCTCGGAAACGGTTGTTTTTTCAGGTTTTTCTTTTTTCGGCCGGAGATTGCGAAAAATCTGCACGATTAGCACATTCACTGGGACAATGATGATGCTGCTCTGCAGACCAATCACGAACGGCTTTAGGTCGATAACCATCGAACCTATTTGAACAGCGAAAGGACTTGGACCCTGACCTCCCATGTTATAGAACATTGCACTCGTAATCATCGTGCAACACAGCAAGCAAAGAGCGCATGAGAGACGTTGGACGCGCGTGAAATTGCTTGTGGGAGGTCTGGATACAATGGAGAACCATATATGGCCATCTGCAAGACCTTTGATTGCTTTCTTCGAGAAGACATGATTGAAGCTTGTCAATTCCTCTTCGTTGGCCACAGACAGTATCCGACAAACTTTCCCGTCCTCTGATTCAACAGCCAACCAATTTTCACAAACCATAGTCCATGTTACACCTGTTTGAAGATCTTTTATGGTCAACCGACTGAGATACCAAGATGGCGAGGAACCTATAGCATGAAAGGTTACATTTGAAAACCTAGAAGGCTTAATTCGTTATGTAAAAATCATGGTGGGCGAGTGGACGAAATTAAACTTCAAATGTTAGGTGTTTTTAAATCTATGAAAGACATTTTACCGCATATACCTGCTCCTTACACTAACTTTACCTGAGTTATCGTGCCATATTTGAATATAGCTCAGATCACCAACACCGTGAGGATATGAAACTACAAAAGAGTTGGTTTGACCTCGTTGGAAACATGGCCTTTCTCGATCGTGTAACCAAACTGGTAGTGTTTCGTTTTCGTCGCCTGTTATCGTAAACACAACTCTTGCTGTAGTGCCGGCTCCCTGTCTGCTACCTGTGGCGGTGGTGATGAGGTAGTGATAGTCTGCACGAGGTTTTTGAAGGATCGTTGGACCAACCTGATTTGTCGGAAAAGAAGTTGACGCAAAGCACGCAAGGTTAGCTATTGTGAATTGCAGAGGTAAGCTAAGGTGGGGTTAGGTGATATGAAATGAGGTGGGAGGTAGGTGGGGTGTAAAGAGGTGCATTTGGATGATTTGATGTATAGAGTGACAGGTGATGTACAGAAGGTAAGGTGGGGTTTGGTGATATGAAATGAGGTGAGAGGTAGATGGGGTATATATAGGTGCATGTGGATGATTTGATGTATAGATGACAGGTGATGTACAAAAGATAAGGCGGGGTTGGGTGATATACATCAGATAGGTAAAATGAGGAACAAGGTAGGGGTATTATGTAAGACGAAAGATTAGAAGACTTAAGATGCAGTAAGATTATTGAATGTAAGTAAATGCATAAATGGAGCAAGGTAACCTGACGCATTACGAGGTAAGATAAGATAACATGACATGGCGGTTTAGAAAGAAACGGCAGGCAGGAGAAACAAACTCACCAATAACAAATCCTTTTTATCCGCTCGTCTTGCCCAGATCACTCCAATGATGTATAAACCAAGAATGGTCGATATCAAAGCCAGCACAGCAACATTGTTGGAAAGACTTCCAAAATTACTGAAGACCGAGTCGAAGTCGATTGGGTTTGGAGCAACAAGAAGATCACTTCCAAACGACGTCAAGTGATTACAGGAACAGAGGATTTGTTCTCTGTTCGTTCCTATTACAACCTGTTTACAAAAAGGTTATATGAACTTTTCAAACGCACTGTTGTGTAAATAGCCGAGTTCACAAATCTCACACGTCGAATTTCGAATAACAATTTTCAGGCTTACCCTGCAGCCTTCACCTTTCCATGTCTCATTGACAACATCCCAGAATATACAGCTGGATTCGAACATGGTCAGGTTGTAGTTCGGAGTTTGGTTGGGATGAAAGAAATTGCCATCAAAGCCTAGATTGTCGGCCACGAGGATCTTAAGCTTTCCAGGAGGGTCAGTTGGCTTCGGTGGGGCAGGGGGGATAATGACACACGAACGACGAACGCGTCTGGCGCCAACTTCACAGGAAACTGAACGCCGATTTCGAGAGCTGAAGGACGACTCTGGATCAGGGTAAGTTTCATTATGAAATTGTTCAGTGTGTTGTACAGCTAGAGTAAAACAGAATAGCAATGCCTTGAATCTTGAGGAAGTGATAACAAGAGGCACTTGGTCACGGTAAGACTTCATCCAGAGCTGATACTCAAGGACGGTACTCGAGAACCAGCTCTGTCCTTCCGCAAAGTGTTTGAAACCGCAAAGGCGGCAAAGCTCATGTGCATGCACAAAATTTCCAAAGAGAATTTCAACGGTTTGACGTACTCTTGGAAAAAGATATGTATGTATTATTACTTTCAATAATTTCTTACCGAAACAGTACTCCCCAGTACCGTTGAAATCCAAATTCGATACAAACACTGTGTAAAGATCTTTTGCACACTTTGTTGGGTCAATATGAACAGGTTTAGCGTTTCCCGACTGTGATTGTGATGTAAACACGCTGTCGTTACCGACTTTACAAGTACTGAAGTCTGGCAATTTGTAAACGAACTCGTAATCTCCTGCTTTTACGTCGGGCTTTCCTCCCTTCTTCAGGAATACCTAACATGAAGTAGACAGAGAAAGATACTCAGAAGCCTGATACATGTCCAAGTCCTGAACAAAGCCAGGAAATGAAAGTAGGAAGTCAAGAGGACAATGTACTATTTTTACGTAGAATAAAAAAGCAATATTTCAGGATTCGCTTGCTATAATTTAGTAATAGTAATTTTCTGCTAATGTAGTAGTAATTTTCTGCTAATGTAGTAGTAATTTTCTGCTAATGGCTGGCATCACTCAATTCGTGTCAGCTAAGGAACAGAATTAATGAGATTAATTAAATTCGTACGTTTGTCTTTTTCTTCACGGTTATGAACTACCTCCACAGCTCTACTTTACTTCACATAACCACTGTTACTTACATTATAAGAAATTCCAACGTCTTCAGGTTTCATTTCGAAATTCATGGCGGTGTAGTTACTCCGTCGAGTAAAGCAATGAAACTTCAAATAGTCTCTTGTTTTTTTGCTCGTTCATTCAAAATTTCAAGAGGTTTTAGGTAGAACGAATTGTTTGCATCCTTAATCAATGATGGATCTCGGGTTATTGTAAGAGTAATATCTTCTGTAAGGTTGGAAGATGACATGTTCAGGCTCTTTGATTCAACTACAATATCAATCACGTTGGACGTGACGTTTTCACTCGAGTTATCCCAAGTGAAAGGATTCTTGTCAAACAAAGTGAGCTGTTAAAAAACAAGTGGAAGTATAGTTATTTACTTATCGTTTTTTCAAGGCGTATAATCGAAGAAAGTCCTCCAGGATGAATACGTTTTCTAGAATGCACTAGCTGACGCTAAGTTTGCATCATTTTTATCTCTTCTCACCTCGATAGCGATCGGTTGGACGTGAAGATAGCTTTTGTTGGGATTTGACAGAACTTGAAGTGAGGAAACATATATCAGATATGGTTAACCTTTTTTTCGGTTCGAAATTTATGTCAGTGCTATAGTTCTTGTACGTAAATGCAATGACAAATATTTGACAAGTTTTATAAAGAATAACGAAAGACATAAGCGGTTAAATACTGAAAATTGGATTTCTATTTGGACAACCCTTTCTAAGCGCTTATTGGCTGAAATAAAAGCGCGAAATCACCTGGGATAAATAGAGTCATCGGATTTGATTGGTTCATTAATCATGCTTCCTCCTCACGCTAATAGCGCTTGTGATTAGTTAATCTAATAGAGTTATCGGATTTAATTAGTTCATACCTCCTCATCTCGCTAATCTATTGCGCTTGTTATTAATTAATCTGACAGAGTAATCGGATTTGATTAGCTCATCCTTCTTCCTCTCGCTAATCTATTGCGCTTGTGACTGGTTAATCTGAGAGAGTGATCGGATTTGATTATGCCTCATGATTGGTTCATGATAGTAGGAGTTAAATCTGAACATAATAAACTACTTACCATCGCCTAAGCCAAAGGCAGAGCCTGACGGAGGTTTAAAGCGAGCACCTTTTAGCTCGCTTTCTTTCTTTCCTAAAGCGTAGGCAGATACCTTCTCCAAACTCATTGAAAGCATTTCCGTTTCGATCATACTCGGCCCTTCGTTTGATACCAAATAATCCAGTAGAATAACTTGAAGTTTCTCGACTAAATTAAAAATGCGCTTGACGTAACCCTAGAAAAAAGACGTTTACAAAGAAGGTGAGATACGCTTGCATCCTCCACCAGTGAAAGCAGAAAGAATAAAGGAGACTTTTTTGAAACGTTCGTCGAAGTATACAAATAATTTTTAAATGTCAAAACTTGACATGTAATTGAGCAACCAACTGAACAAAATCACACCCATTGAAAAAAAGCTCGGCTACGCTTCAAATAGTTGGCTTTTGAACAACCAGAGAGCAGGTCCCCGGTTCGCCCCGAGGCCCCGTACGCTTATGTACCAGCACATACCTCAGTTTTGTTTTCAGAGCGGGAATTTAACGCACCGAGGATCCAAAGTATGTCAGAAATTGCAGGCTTGGCGTTTTTGAATATCATATCGTTCTGCGTTAACTTCTCCAGTTCATCCGCTGTAGTCTTAATAGTGGTCAGCGCCGCATCCTGAAAATACATTTCAATTAGTTATCAAGTGGTATACGTGCGCGTCCTCATTCTTCCTCATTTATCCCTATACCTGTGCTTTTTCAGTTAACTGTTCTGCATTTCCAACAAGAGCAACAACTGAATCGCTGATTTGTTGGGTTTCGGACAAGTCTTTTGGATTCATTCCAGAAATAATCGTCAGCATATCTTCTCGTATCTATAATTTAAAACCAATGAGATAATCTGAAAGAGCTGTGCTGGCGTGTTTGTTTCTGAAACGTCACTAAATCCCCAGTAAAATATTCTAGACTTGTAGCGCCCTGGATTACCTTTCAAACCTGGTTTCGTTATAGTCATAATTGTCGTGAAAAAGTCATTTTCACGATGCAAATTAATGTGTCTTAATTTTCTCATTTAAATCGGCCATTGTTGACGGCACAATTGCGTAACTATAAAACGATAATTGGGGGGGGGGGAGTGTTGGTTGCTGAATATTGATATATCCAGTTCTGCCCGATGGATTGCTATTGTAAACTATTCCGACTATATAACTAGAAACCAGGCTTTATAGATCGGAGTCAGGCAATAACAAATAACTGTACCTGGTCAGACGTTTGTCCTGCTTCTAAGGCTTCGCTAACTTTCGATCCCAGGGAATTCAAAGTAGTCCCCACACTACAAGCTAGACTCATGGCTGTTTTATTTTCTCCAAGTTTTGCATATTCAGCAACCAGAAGTACCATTTCGGTAAGACTAAGTTTATCGCTTGGAACGACCTACAATGCAAATCGTACAGAAAAAAAGCGTTGACCATTTAGACCTTAAAGTTATTCTAAAATAAACAAACAATACCACCTTGTCTTCTTTTAAGCGTTTTTGAAAACCTCTGAGCAAGTGTATAACAAGCGCGATGGTCTTTGCAAACGTTTTAAAATTCTAATTTCAAAAGATCTTAGAATAATGAAACCACATCTAAAGCTTCCTACTGTATGTAACTCATGATGCCGACCTCAAACGAAATTTGAAGAGACGGATAGAATTGGTCTAAATAATGTGCAGTACAGTATATAATCAGTTTAATTTCCAGAGCACGCTAATGAGCTGAACAGCAAAAAAAATTTATTTCAAAATATAACTTTATGTTGGTAAAAATACTGAAAATAACTATATAAAAATAGCTGAATCTTGGGGAATATTCCTGAATCATGCGGGAACAAAATCCTCAGTAGCAAAAGCAACTTTTATCCACTTGGGAAAACACAAATTTCAAAGTCATTCAAAAACGTCAAAGTCCCAGCTTACCCGTAAAAGAAACTCCTCAAATGAACTTGACCCTATCGCATCCGTAATTTCCACGGAGACACTTAAGGTGTAATTGTTACTTTCCTCCCCAGCTGGTAGCCTATCAGTGTGGCTGATGCTCACACCAGATGCAATTGTACGATAATAGAACAGTGTCTTGCTCTGGTTGCTTCCGTAGAAGAACTTGTAGGTCAGCGGTGATTCGTGGTCGGACCATCTCTCACAAGCGAAAGTGAAATTTGTCGAGAGTGATATTCCGAAGGAAGGAGTAACAGAACACGTGCCTGGATTGAATAAAGTCAAGTAGTGTGAATGATATGTTTGAGCAATTGGTCCCTAAAGGGGGTGTATTCACATAAACCAATTTTGACAGGGCTGATCAACTTTTGACATATGGAATGTAGTTTGTCACAGTATTGCATTGACTTGCTATTGCATTCACAGTATTGCATTGCTGCAGTTGATTTGCTGCCCACATACATTGCAAGTCAACAAACCATAATTAAAACATCTATTAGACAAAACTGGATCATTTGAACAGACATTAAAATTGATCGTCTGAAACATGATAAGCTGTTGCTCAAAATGTCATCATAATTATATGTTATTTACCAGATTGGAGGTCCGTATAGGGAAATATTTCCCTATACGGACCGACTAAACTGGTAAATAATAGATTTATCTTTTTTATTACCCGTCCCCCATGCGTGCGTGCTTCTAAATCTGCGCGGTCCGTACGAGCGCTCCGTACGCTAATCAGATTACAGGAAACGCTAAAATATGAATTCGGACCGCAAGAAAAAAAATAATACGAGTTACTCACCCCCAAGCGGTGGTCCATTCACAAGAAGGGTAGTCCTCACTTCCCCGAATATTCCACTCGGACGCGTCGCTCGAAATGCCAGCGTATATTTTTTGCCAGGTTGCAGCGCGTCAGGTTTAATCGACAGATCCAGCTCGTTGATTGGGTTCCTTACCATATTCTGAAATTCCTTCGATGAAATCTCATGCAACGCTGACAGATTCAGCGGTTCAGGGTCGTGAATGTCATCGTATAAATGTAAAGTCCAATTGAACATTAACTCCCCTTGACAAAACGACGAACAGTCGGCTCGCATGATGGTCTTACCCTCAGCAGTGATTTTTGATTGACAGTTCTTGGAGCACCTGCAAAATTGTAAAATCACTTGTTAATAATGAAGTGAATGAAGTGAATGAAGTGAATGAAGTGAATGAAGTGAATGAAGTGAATGAAGTGAATGAAGTGAATGAAGTGAATGAAGTGAATGAAGTGGGTATGAAGTGAATGAAGTGGGTATGAGGTGAATGAAGTGGGTATGAAGTGAATGAAGTGGGTATGAAGTGAATGAAGTGGGTATGAAGTAAATCTAATCTAAATGAAGTGAGTTAAGTGAATGAAGTGAATGAAGTGAATGAAGTGGGTATGAAGTTAATGAAGTGGGTATGAAGTGAATGAAGTGGGTATGAAGTGAATGAAGTGGGTATGAAGTGAATGAAGTGGGTATGAAGTGAATGAAGTGGATAAAGTGAGTATGAAGTGAATGAAGTGGTTATGAAGTAAATCTAGTCTAAATGTGCTACTCGATGCGACATTACCCCAGCGTTAGCGTTGGAGGAAGACCAGTTGTGACGTAAAAGAAGATCGTTGTCATCGCCTGACGGAGACCAAACTCTGGATGAGTCTTTGATACAACGAGCAGAATTTCGTAACTGAAATAAAAAGGTTACACTAACCGAAGATTGAAGTGGATGTTAAGTCTGCGCATCGGTTCTGATCATAACAATGCCAGGTCGTGAAATAAAAATTTTGACCAAATTTCGTATGTTTCAGATTTTTCTCATCAAAAACACAAGTTCGTATTCATTTAAAGACATAGCAAACCTAAATGTTTTATGATATTCAGACAGAGCAGGCTAACAGGACGACGTATTTCAAAAATAACAGAAGTTCAAAATGTGAACAATCAGTTTGTTTACATACGGCTTTGACTTCCACTTCAAAATTCATTTTTCGAGCAGGCTACAGAACACTCGACTTACGTTTTCATTTCCATCATGTTACTGGTGTCCAGTACAAGTGTAGAATTTGAGGTATCTATACGACCCCGACCTGACCCAAAACAGCCACGAAACTAGAAAAGAACAGCATTGTATATGATGTGAAGAGTTCATCTTCAACAAAGTATCGCTGAAAACATGGAACAGTGGCGGAAAAAAGACGCTCATCTGTGAAATAAAGTGACTTGTCATGGTTAAGCCACTGGCTGGCAAGTTTAAATCGGTTATGTTAATCACAATCGATGGTTCAATAACGGTATTCTTGTCGTTCCTACCGAAGTAATGGGGAGAACGATATTATCGTCGTCAGAGACAAGTGGTTCACTTGTTAGATTGCTTTGAACAAACTCTTTATCTTCGACATCCCTGCAATACCATGCGAAATTCATGCCGTCTGTACCAGTAAAATCTGGATCCGAAGATGCGGAAGAGTTCAAGATGCCCTGGAAATTGGGATAAGAATCAAGTATCAGAAACGCTTTAACTGTTAGGAGTCGAAAGGTTATCGCATATCAACTTACAGTTAAGCCAAAAGGTGCGGTATAGAAGGACCCACCAACCACAGCAGCTTCAAGCCAGGGGGTTTGAACTACTTGGATGTAAAATGTGTCGCTTCCGAAAACATCAGGCAAGCCACGCATCTCGACCCGGGCACTGATCTCATAGAAACCGTAGGGTAAATCATTCCCGGGCAGTAAAAGATCGGGGCCAAAGATACTGGAGTGATAAGGTGACTTGGAGAAACTGTAAATAGGCAGTGTTGTCAGTTCGCGAGGATCATCGTCAAATTTAAGCACAGTCCACGTTGTCTTTGTCTGTTCCGTGGTCTCGCAATCAATGTCGTTCTGGGTGGACAAAGCAATGACGACTGAGCGGTATACTTGAGCCGCATTCAAGGCGTTGGACGTATTTGGAGGTAAACCTAAACATTAGAAATGCGGATGAAAATGCAAAGAAACAAATGGTTAAAGCCCTGGTCAAACGAGAATGATAGTTGATGAGAGTTGATGAGAGTTGCAACTCTCGCTTGCGTTTGACCGCGAACTCTCATACACTCTCGTGCACTCTCATCAACTCTCATCGACTTTGAACTGGTTCAGATTTTGATGAGAGTTGATGAGAGTTATCAACTCTCGTTCTCAACTCTCATCAACTCTCATTCTCGTTTGACCGTCGCATCGAGAGTTTGGAAAACTCTCGCTTCTCAACTCTCATCAACTATCATTCTCGTTTGACCAGGGCTTAAGAGGAGGAAAAAAAGATGAGATGATAGCATAGACTTTCGCTATACTCTTATTAAACCCAAAGAAGTTTCTAAACATGGCTATGCTGCTAATATTTACACTCCAAGGGGGCATTCACTGGGGGAATCTTTCACAAAGAGGGAGCGGTTAAGGAAGGGGTGGAGCGCTTTTTCCTTCCTGGGTCTAGGAACATTCGTCGAACATGTATATGCTTCTAATTCCTAAAATATGAAAACCATGAATCTGTACTTTTGAGATAATATACCACACAGCTCGGGTGAATTACGGAAGAATATGAATTACCTTTTATTGTCACGTTTGGATTATGGCAAACGAAAGGCAAGACAACGGCAACTATGTCTTTTGTTACCATGGAAACCTCGTTTGACGCGTTCATTCTGACGTCATAAGAGCCAATATCAGGATAGACATGCTGGAAGACGATCTCCTGGGTATTCGAAGTGTAATTCGGGAGAAACTTGAAGCGAGGTTGAGTCAAGATATTTGGGTTAATAGCAGTAACATCAAACTTTGTGGCGCACGAGTCGTTACCAAACACCAGGAGAGAACTATTGTCTCCCAAATCAACCCATATACAGGTCTGGGTGCCAAGTTTTTCCAGTGAAATTGTGAATGTGATGGTTTGGTTTTCTTTCACAGGACCGTCGCTTGTTAGACTTGACAAAACGACGCTTTCCATAAGTTCAATGCTACCGTGTGCAAACGTTGAATTGACGACATTTTCCAGTCGCAGGGTAATCTGACAGGTCTGACTGGTCTTGTTTGGAAAGATCTTGTCGAAAACACACTGGGACTCCATGATCATGCCATCTGTATCACAATTAATCGTCCAAGTCACAGTTGTAACTGGACCTCCTATTGTTAGATAAAACGATGAAATTTGCAAAAGTTAAAACTGATACCAAGAAAACCTGATACCAAGCTATAAAGTGCATTTGCTCGTGTTACACAATGCAATTTTCCTTGCAACTTCAATGCAAATATAATTTTAAGGGATGCTAATTTGTGAATGTGTTTGAAATGCTAAGAAAACGTTAGCATATCGTAAGAATGTTCGTATTTGACAACTTTAGATACATCAGAAGTAGAATTGCATTGCAAGTTGCAAGGAAAGTTGCACAGTGTAACGCCGCCTTAAACATCTGAAATTCAGTTTCAACGCATTATAAGAAGGGACGGTCTGTTAATCGATTTCACTCCTAGCGAGTGATAAAGGGCAGCATGTTAAACAGAGGTACACAATGTTTACAGCAACATATTACCTGCATACGAGCAATTGAATTTCACGGGATGTTCAGCTGGGAAGATATTTCCCTGGCTCCCACGACCCTCGATGTTGACCCCGAAGTCCGAGTAACTTGCTAACGCTGTGAAGCCCGCTTGGGTGATGATTTTCAACACCTCCACTTCGATTGATGAGGGTGAACTAGACAGTAAATTTGAAGCCACGGCGCTAATATTAACAACCCCATCAGGGTCAAAGTGGCCTGGATCAGACACTAAGCAATCGCATTGTCCACTAACGTTGGTAAGTGGGCCTGCATTGCAGCATGGGATACCGTTGTATGATACAGCAATTGTGACATTTGTGCCAGCGGTCATGTTCCACACAACAGTGAAACTTTGCGCAAATTCCTGAGGTGATAAAGGATTTAGTGCGAAGCCAGCAATTGAAACATAGCCTGGCGGGATCGATACCAAATTAGTCGGAATTGAACTTGATTGCAAAACTGCTCGAGTTGCTTGATGAATAGGCGAAGGACTTGTAGTAATTCCTAAATTCCCATGAGTTGTTTTAAGCAGACGAGGCGTTGATACGGCAGTTGGAAAAACTGAGATGGCCCCAGGGGGGGCAGGAACTATTATAGAAGGAGAAGCGGTTGGGACTGGAACTGGAACTGTGGAAAAGCATTATTAGGTAAGTATTGCTCAAAATTGAACTGATAGGTTATTGGGCGAGAGGTACTGTTGTCATATGAATGAAACGTGGACTACGTGGTCAGGTGAAGGGATGATAAATATTCTACAGACCACATGCAGCCAGTCTAGCGGCAGAAGGCTGAAACTGATAATACGCGTTTTCTATTTATTCAGTATTGTTATGATTTTATCGTCCGCGGCATTTCAACATATTTGTTGGAGTAACTTCATTGTAACAACTTCATGGCTGACAATCAAACTGCGTGTAGTATCAGACTTGACGTTATCAAGAGAAGGGTCCGTTACAATAAAGGAAGTCAAAACTTACTTTGACATTGCGACCCAGTAAAACCATTAACACAATTACAATCGTAGCCGTTGGATAATTCACGACATGTTCCGTTATTTAGACATGGATCATTCAAACAGTATTTGACTATAAAGAGAACAAACGGGTACCAACAAATTTCCATGAGTTGTTTTAAGTAGACGAGGAATTGATAACGAAGATGTTGTATTCAATGGGGTTATGGGAATGAGATGGTCTCTGAGGAAGTAGGAAGAACTACGGAGGTTTTTGAAAAAAAAAGAAAAAAATTCTGGGACTATTAACTATCCCAGAACCGTCAGAAATCGGAGAACCTTCAGAATTTCCAGAACGGTCAGAAATTTCTTAACCTTTAAAAATTTTAGAACTACTTACTAGGGGGAGACGTGGTTGGGGCTGGATCTGTAAAAAAGCACATCATAATTATTAGTAAGTATTGCTTAAAATTGAACTGATAGGTTCCTGCGCGAGAAATATTTTTGTTGAATGAATGAAACGTAGTCTGTTGAAGGGATGATAAATATTCTACAGATCACATGCAGTCTAGCGGCAGAAGGCTCAAACTGATAATACGCGTTTCCTATTTATTCAGTATTGTTATGATTTTATCGTCCGCGGCACTTCAGCATATTTGTTGGAGTAACTTCATTGTAACAACTTCATGGCTGACAATCAAACTGCGTGTAGTATCAGACTTGACGTTATTAAGAGAAGGGTCCTTTACAATAAAGGAAGTCAAAACTTACTTTGGCATCGCGACCCAGTAAAACCATTAACACAATTACAATCGTAGCCGTTGGATAATTCACGACATGTTCCGTTATTTAGACATGAATCATTCAAGCAGTAGTTGACTATAAAGAGAACAAATGGGTAGGAACAAATTTCCATGAGTTCGGTTTTAAGTAGACGAGGAATTGATAAAGAAGATGTTGTATTCAATGAGGTTATGGGGATGAGATAGTCTCTGAGGATGTAGGAAGAACTACGGATGTTTTTTAAAAAAATGAAAAATTTCTGGGACTATTAACTATTCCAGAACCGTCAGAAATCGGAAAACCTTCAGAATTTCCAGAACGGTCAGAAATTCCAGAACCTTTAAAAATTTTAGAACTACTTACTAGGAGGAGACGTAGTTGGGGCTGGAGCTGTAAAAAAGCACATCATAATTGTTAGTAAGTATTGCTTAAAATTGAACTGATGGGTTACTGGCCGAGAAATATTTTTGTCATATAAATTAAACATGGTCAGTTGAAGGGATGATAAATATTCTACAGACCACATGCAGTCTAGCGGCATAAGGCTCAAACTGATAATACACGTTTTCTATTTATTCAGTATTGTTATGATTTTATCGTCCGCGGCACTTCGACATATTTGTTGGAGTAACTTCATTGTAACAACTTCATGGCTGACAATCAAACTGCGTGTAGTATCAGACTTGACGTCATTAAGAGTAGAAGGGTCCATTACAACGAGTGATAACTTACTTTGACATCGCGACCCAATAAAACCATCAACACAAATACAATTGTAGCCGTTGGATAATTGACTACATGTTCCGTTATTTAGACATGGATAACTCAAACAGTGATGGACTACAAAGAGAACAAATAGGTACGCTTAGAGTTCATGTGGGTAGCTGCAATTTCGTCGACGGGCAAGCTTCAGCGAAACAGTCATTTAGGAATACATCTATAAAGAGAAACCATAGCAGAATGATCTACACATACCCCCCATACATCCGTAGAACTCCATCCTCACAACTGGTTGAATGTTGTACTCGAGTGGATAGAATCTCACATAACGTGCTATGACCATGGGCTGAAAATCGTTGCGAGTAATGTTCTTGTTGTTCGCATCCATATAAAAAAACTGTTCAAAAAATCGTTGAGTGACTTAACGTGAATGTCACTGATTGTCAAAATGGCGACAGAGCATAGGAAATCAAACGTATGGATTTCAGTTGTAATGAAAAGTATCCTGCTCGCGAATATACGCAGCGGTCGAGGTAATTTTTCGTTTTGTGAACGGAAGTCCTTAACTGCTGAAAATGTATTAACCGATATATGAAAAGAATGAAAAAGAAAGGGAATTTGCAACTAACAAAACAGGGATAATCAAAAGAAAATCGAAAAAAAAATGGACCATTCTCCCTTTAAACTAATTTAAAACTAGGAAATTTCATTGTTACAGCTTCAAAGTTAGCAAACCAGTAAACCTTCAAAGTTAGTAAATATTACAGATTATAAAATAACATGTATAATAACGTGTGTTTTGATTTCTGGAGGCCGGTGTTTGGATCAGGCCATGCAAACATGGACGTTTTAATGGTTTCCCGTGTTTTGATGGCCTGATCCAAACACGCGGAAATGTTGCTGGAGCAAAATCACTCGACTTCGGCTCGTGTTTCGCGCGCTTTTCCATCAAGTAATTGTTTAGTCTTATAGAGTGTGAAAAAGACCGCCTTGCGTACCCACTTTTGAATTAAGCGGAATCGTCCGTTTCATTTTCTTCTCATATAATTTTATACGAGTTTGAATTTCAGTGCAAATGAGACCAAAAAAGTATCTTCAATCGTATTTGATTGAAATAAGTCTTTTCATTTCAAGCTGGACCTTTTTTTTTTGCTCTAGCATGTGATTATCTGAGCTCGCTTATGTTTGTATAGACAGTGCATAAAATGCTTTATACCTGACCAGATGAAGTTGATATGTACGAAAAGTAAGTGCGGCTAGACGATGCTGTGTAGGTCATTTTGAATTTGGTCACCGTTACGCCGATAGTGGCTTCCTTGCCTTGCGTCAACAAGTATGTCAACGTTGTTTTCATCTGATAACAAACAGAAATTAAGTGAGCTTTCGCATTTTGACCATTAGCGTACAGGGAGGGGGGCGCATGAGGAGGATATTAATCATTCCCCTCCCCCAGGTCGAGAAAACTGCTTCCGACCCGCCGCACCCAAATCGAAATCGTAACGAAAAATTCAGGGAACTTGCCGTGAAATCAATCTCCAGATAGGAATTTGAGAAGGGTGTTGGACTCCAACCACCAAGTGTAACGTGAGGTATAGCTGTTTGGTTCAACCTCGCGAATTTTGCGTTGTAGAGGCCGTAACGCGAACCCTTTGGCGAGCTTGTGATTTGGGCGTCCAGAATATCGCCGCTTTCCATTCCAAGAGGAATTGAACCAGAGCAAGCTATAAAAAGGTAAGAGTCTCCTGTTTATTGCAAATACATTTATATATCTTCACGAAAATAGTCCAATTTCCTTTAAGTGGTAATCACACGAAAGCCAGTTGTTCGCGACCAGGAAAACTTATTGATAAATGAAGAACTCACTTTCACAACGAGTGCCTTTAGTTAGTGCAGGACAAACACAATTATAAAGACCCAGCTCTGAACTGACGCAGTTTCCGGTGTTCTGACATGGGTTGGTAGGAAAACAATCTGTAAGAGAAATACTTTTTAGACAGACTCGGGAGTACTCGTCTTTTATTGTCGCAGTCATCGTTACATGCACAGGAACGTTGAAACGCCATTCTGCATGCGAATGAAATCCAACCTGGGTATTGCTTTGACCTTCAAAGCTACCGTGCTGCGACCGAAAACCGTTCCAGAGTAAAAAACGGGGCTTGAAAAGTTGGTCAACATCACATACCCCTAACCCCCCCTCCTAACCCCCCTCCCCTCGAAGCCTCGTTCGCCACGCCCCTAATCAATTAAATCAATTCTAATGTTTCAACTGTCTTACCTTGAGCGCATATATGGAATTCCACTCGTAGACCAATGTGATATACGGTTTTTTGCGGATTGACGCGAACGTATCGTGCCTCGATAAGCGGAAAAAACGAATATTTCTTCGTAGTTTGCAAATCATAGTCTCCAGGAAAGATCTAAACACACGCAGTGTACGAAAAGTGCGTGAGTAAGACATTGAAAAAATTCCCCCAGTAAAATGCATCTCAGGACAGTCGTAAATTACTCTGCTTACGGGGGTTAAACAAAGTCATACCATTGACTATACCTAAACTAGATGTTTATTTTGATTTTAGATTCGTACGATGAAAAAGTTTTATTGGTAATTTTTTTACCTCACCTTTCACTTTCTCGTTTTTTCCACCCTACCCCATATCTTGCTGTTCTTTTCAGTTACCCACCATTTTTACTTCGGGCTGTACCCCCTCCCCTTCCCTTTCTAGGTATTGACTACACACACCTTGTCAAGATCGGTAAAATCTGTAAAGACTGTAAATGCTACGCCATCGTCTCCATAGCTAACAGTGAAGGTTTTCGCTCCTTGTGTACTGATAGAGTCCACAGTTGTCGTCGATTTAAAGTCGATTTGCAGCCATGGATTGGAATCAGCGATGGCTGGAGTCCAATAGCCTGTCATGTGATTCAATCGGGCGTAAATGTCACGATGGTAGACATCGTAGTTGGAAGAAGCACTGATCTCAGAATCACGAATCGCCGTGCTTTCCATTCCAGCAGGGACTGATTTGCAAGCTAATTAATGTAATAAAAAATTGAATTGCAATTAGGGGGATCTTTCCGCTTATTGGGAAAACAGATTGTAAAATCAACATTGCGTACCTTTTAAAATTTCCAATACGGAGAAGAAAAGCAGAATCTAAAAGATTAAATTGTAAAATAACTGTGTTAATATTCTCGCGTAAAAATCTATCTAAGCGAAAAACGTAATCAAAAATTCGACGTGTTCAGGGCCCAGTTTCACGATAGGTGGGTAACGCTTTCCATTATAACTTTTTTCAATCACTTTCAATTGCTCGTTGTTTCATATACAAGACTTGATTTTATCATGTTTGCCTCAACAGCTTTTAGTTGGTAGTTTTGGTACCATGTTGTAATGTCACACCATGCAAATGCTTAGTTTGAAAGTTCAGATCTATTTAGCATGATAATATTATGTTAATAGTTATAATTATGCTGCTTCGTGAAAGGCTTTTGGAGTTCATAACATTTGCAAAGTTTGTATCCAAGCCTGGCAATGATACTAATTTCAGTATATTATATATACTCTTTTTTGTGGTGATTTATTTCCTTCTTGTTAGCTAAATCATAAGTTAATTAATTGCTCTACCATTGGGTAATCTCATTCCCATTGCATGAGTTGCCATATTCCATTACGTATATCATCTCATGGCAATATATTATTAGCGATTAATTATTTAAGATTTGAAACTCAAATTATAAACAAAAACAGACAAAGGTGCCGGTGCGAAACGCTGTTTCACCGTTTTCAATTCTATTGTCGTCACCGGCATTGAATTTAATTAAGCCAAGCATCGCTCAATAACTGGAAATGCTCTGTAGCAAACAAACAAACCCAATAAACTATGCTATCGATCTGGAGAGGCTAAATTGCTAATTGAGGCTAAATATATCTTCCCGCTGAAATTCCTTCACAAGCACCGCGAAAACAACCGCTTAAATCTTTGGCCTCCATACTGACTTATGTCAGTTATGTGCCTACACGTATCCGGCTGATACAACACAACTTGAAATTAATGATAATTTTTTTGCATTGAATAAAAACATACGAATGTATGTCGTAGCTATGTCCTTTTTTATTTCAAGGGAAATTCTTCACATTAAACGGGTTACATTAACTAGTTTCTTCTTTTATTAAAGGCACATGCACTCTCAACATATTATATTACATCCTTATAACATAAGCCTTCACTTACCGAAAACACGTACATGACAACTCTTATCGTATTGAACCACTGCAAACGTGGCTATATACACATAAAAGGTAGCAGGCGCATATATATAACGGTCTCTCTGCTAGAGTCGCAATAGCAATAGCAAATACCTGCTTATAATACCGCAAGATGCAGAATTGATTTTGATTGGTAGATGCAGAATTCATTTCTATTAAGTACCGTCGCCCGAACCTAACCACATGTGCGTGACCGTAGCAACGAATTGAACAAAAAAAATGTGGTTGAAACAATCTAATGAGAACGAGAACGGAACAAGGAAAGGAGCCGCGATTTGCTTGTTTTTTACCGGGATAGCACAGTTGGGCTCAATTTGATAGCTAAGGTTAATTCAACCCCGACCAAGGGTAGAGTTAATTCTATATCAATAATTAGCTTACTAAAGTCTCTAGGTCCTGTTCTGGGACTGGTTGTATGATTCCCGTTTAACTTAAACGGCGGATAAGTCAAAATTAAATAACACTCTTACAACTCTCTTGAATGAGTCAACTTGAATATTATGCACTGAATATGTAGTTGTAAACAGTATCGTTGTATTAAGGTTAAAAACATTTTGTTCGCTTGTTGAATAAAACGATAGACTTGATTTCTATTTTGAACTTATCCACCGTTTAAGCTAAACGGGCTTGATACAACCGGCCCCTGCCCTTCCGTCTGAGATTTATCGTGGGCTTCAACTCTCCATAATACTCTGCGGTTAAGGTAAATTTCATGTTATATAATTTCATTGTTGTTTTCATTCTATAAAAATAAAAATAATCATTAATTCTTGTATACAGAATATGGTTTTATTAAAACCTTGCTAAACATCCTTTACAGAACTGTCATTACTAATTTTGCTAAATGTTATATCGCCTAAAATGTTATTTAACGAGTGCATGTTTGAAGTATTACGTCGCTGCCTGTCCAAATATCGCACTTTATACACAGGGGAATTAAACGAATCGCGACACGACTCTAACTGTATTGAAATAAGCAAAAACGTAATCCTGAAAGTGATTTAGTCAATCCAACAAACACAGCATGTGCTTATCTGATATCACGAAAACTTATTTCAATACCTCAAAACTATTTTACGCTTCGTTTAAAGCTCGGCCTCGGGTGACTGCGGGACCTGTAAACATTACTCGTACACTGGATATCATTGTGACAGCGCTGAGCTCGCATCAGGGAGTAAAAATTTCAGCTTATAGCTTCATGTATTCTCGTGTTGACAGTAAGACAGATAATCTTCATTAAGAAGGATGAATTTTATTTAGTAATTATTTGGAAGACTCGGCGAAAGGGTTTATAACAACTTTATATTCTGACCTTGGCTTGTCATGTAATGTGAACAATTTCATAAGGAATTTCAAAGCATTACCTGACGACTTCATAAACAACTTACAAGCAGGATTCTAAAAAACATCATATGACAAACAGCCATTTTTTCACTGTTTGTACAAAGTTGATAAAATGTATAATCTGGTGTTTCAATATATACTTTGTAAACAACTTGCACGCTATCAATTTTTTCACATTTTCTCAGGGCTTATAACCTAATAAGGAGGCCATTAAAATCGTTTCAAAAACGCTCAATCACACAGAACTTAAACTAAAAAAAGGGGGGGGGGTGGTAGTTGGGATTGGCTGTGTTTATTTATTTATTATATGGCAAGCGTCACTTCCGATGAAATAGCGCGCTTTGATTGGCTTAGGAATATTTTTAGCGATGTAGCGATGGACCGCCGGTCCATTACGGAAAAAAGTAAACAAATTTTCCAAAGCAAACAGCAAACGTTTTGTAAAACGCCAAACGCAACATCTTCCCAACGGATTTCTTTTGTAAACTATTGCACTCACCCACTCCAATTATCTTTCCAGTTTCAGCCCTGAACATAATGAAGATTAATGAGCACATTGACTCCAGCGAAATCTCCGTCAAACTATTAAAGGTATAAACGTCGATCTTTGCTTGAAAATTGTCACAGACACAGGGGAAATTTTCGAGGTTAATCAGTTTTCTGCTAGTTAATTTACTTTTAGACTGAGCCAGAAGATGCTAAAATACTTTGACGTAAATATATTTTTGATATATTTTGACTGATAAAACGATAGGTTTTTGAACATTTTAAAATCTTCTAGTTTGTTCGGATACACGCTGGATATACACCAATTAAATGAAATTACTGTACGATGTGGAGAGTCGCTCTACCCAACAGTTCCTGGAGAAAGTTACATCCAAAAGACTAGCAAATATAATACTTCAGTATTCACTAATAAAGAAGACGGAAAAACCCGTTCATTTCGTCCAAGCATTCCGTTAACAAAAATAACAAAACATCTACATAAACTTTCATTTCTCTCTCGAAAAATATATGTCTGTGTGTATATATTAACTGTTGTAAGGAGGATTTTGTAATTTAGATTTAATTTCAGATACCATCATATTCGTCTGAATGGAGTAAATTATTGGATGTTTACAAAGTTACTAACGAGCAAGCAACGAATTGAAGACGAAAAATGTCCCCCAAGAGTCTATTCCCCTCTATATCAGTCTGCACGGCAAACCAATATTTGCGCTCGATCATGCAACAAAGAGTGTCTCATTCTCATTTCAGACAAGGCATTTCTTATACCGACCGTAGATAAACATCGCTCGATGAATTGCGATAAAGTAAACCAGGTTTTGGATTGAGATATTGTGAAAAATACAATAAAATATGCATGGAATTAGTGATATGATCAAAACTATGGAGGCAAGAGTAAACAATTCGTTTTACTAGAAACACTTGGCGTGTTGATGTACAAAGTCAGTATGAAAATTGATTGGAATTGGTGTACAATGACGTCAGTGACAGTCCAGTAACAAGTTTATGACGCATAGACCAGCCCCTGCTGTGGCGGCTCCCTTTATCCCCTCTTTAAAATATGCAAAAGCACAATGTTTACGCTATCTCAAACAATATCATATCCTTTATTTTTTTTTAACTGCAGGCCCACAACTGAGCTGATTAAGATCATTAGCTTCGTTTCATGAACGAGAAACGATTCGATGCGCGAAAATAAGTCCATAAATAACCATAAAAAATGAAATGCCGCTCGTAAACACTACACAATGTTTTCCACGAAGGGTTAAGAAATATTTGGTATGATATCGAGGCTTGTTTACATGTTCCTACTTACTCGAGATTAAACGAAGCGTATGAACAATGATTTTTGTGGCGTTAAAATATGTCCTTGGGAGACCAAACAAATCCTTGTATATATTGTCGGGAAAATTATACAACAGAACTAACAGGAATATAATATTTACTTAATTTTTAATGCCTGAAAATCGCTGCACACTACCGTTTCCCTTAATCTTCTGCTAAGCACGATCATTTGAACAGCCCCTTACAGTTTATCACCTTCAAATTGACAGGTAGGGTATGTCCACCAATAAATTATCACATAAAATCGTCAGCAGTATTTGCACGCCGTTAATCTGCTGATATGAGTTTTTTTTTATAAAGGCTGGTGTTTTTCATATCTCGTAATTCATCGTAATTCATCGTAATTCATATGTCGTAATTCGTCGCATTTCGTACGAATATGCAAACCGAATCACAATGAATTACGAGAAATCATTTACGACACAATACGACAAATTGCGAAGTATGGAAAACAGGCCCAAACATATACAATTATACAGTGGGCCGAGGATTTGGCTTGCGGTATACGAGTGGATTTTAATATTGGGAAACTTTTGCACGGCCATAGTCACTGAAGAGCAGATGTCAAAGTAGACAAAATATAGTGACTGTAGTTCTTCAGTTCATATCCTGTAATAAATCACATGTTGCGTTAGCCCTCTCTAAATATACATATATTATAGTCTTTATAGTCTCAGTCTCAGTATGACTGATAGCGTTAAGACTTTTCAATTAAAGATGGCGGCTACAAAACTGTTTACTGCTCAGCTGGACTACCTTTAATTGGATGATTTTCCAGCTTTTTCCACAGACCACAGGTGGAGGCGTCCTATGAAACCACCTTTTGCAAAACATTCGCAAATAAACGTGAAAATAAGCTTTAACACGTAATTGAGGTTCGTGGGTCATGACCCTTATATTCATGCTAAGCCGTCTTACTCGTCCAATATCCCACTTGTAGGTTTGTTTTCTTGAGCAAAACTAAAGCCTTCCTCACACGTATTTTGGAGAAGTTTGTTTTTCTATATTTGCGAGGCTCGCTAGAAAAACCTCGAAGACGTTTGTTCCCTTTTGAGCGTT